GCCCATGATCCTCAAAGACATCAGCTGCAAGATTGGTCTCACCAGCCGGGTGGGCATCGTGGGTGCCAACGGCGCAGGTGGGGTCTGAGCCCAACTCAGAGCTTTGGGGTGGGATGAGGTGGCTGAACAAGACAGACTTGGAGGGTGTGATTAGATGAAGGTTCAAGGCTCAATTAAGGTTCACTTCACAATTTTGTCCAGTTCCAGGTTGCCCGAGCTGATAATGTCATTAGGTCGTTGGATTCTTCTGGTCCATTCGCTGCTCAACGTTGGGAAGTCGTTGCTTGGCCAGGCAAAAGTACGTTGCTCAATGTGCTTTGCGGAGAGCTGGTGCCTGTGCCTGGACCCGGTGGTGAAGCTCCTGGCGAGGTGGGACCCCGGACTCAGTCGACGTAACGATAGATGGATCAGAGCCCGGATGTCCTGGCCATGCTTGGCCTTGCTGTGTTTTGTTCCTTTTTTCTCAAAATGATAATCGACCCAAGCATTGGAGTTCAGTAAGAACTTGGCTCAAATGGTAAACCTCAGCCTTTTGAAGCCTTCGTGGTCTGAGCCATGTCATTCGTACGAGTCGTTTGGGTGCTGACGATGGCACCCCTGAGTGGTGCTCTTCGACAAGAGCACTTGCACCGGCCGGAGGAGATGGCGAAAGGGTGGGATCTCTCTTCGGTCAGGAAGCGATGGGGCTTGGACCGCCTGGACTTCTTTGGACGGGCACCCCTCTTGTCTGGACCTGGCGCAGTGGTTTCTTTGTGGTGGTTGCAGATTGGAATTGGGATGAGCCTCAAGAGAAGGAATCCGACAAGTTAAAGTCAAGATGGCCGGAAAAGGAGGAGGATCAATTTCCACAAACCAGCTGTCCAAAGAACTCCTTGGCTGGGCAAGTCCTGATGTGCAAACATGCGATGCATAGCGAATATCCAAGATATTGCTGTCTGACCAGCTTTCAATTGCAAAGCGGAAAAGGAAGTTGGGCGGTTTGTACGGTCCGTCAAGAACCACTACTTTTTCCGAACAGGAACACGGACACAGGGACAAGAAACATCAAGAAACAATATGCAGCTTCCAACTTGGAAGGATTTGTTATAGCACTGTAGTAATTATTGGATCATATAAGCTCCCGCAGAATATGTTTCTCAAAGACAGCTCCACAGCGCCAGGTCTACAAGCATCGAAACTTGCGCTTGGCCTACATCGCCCAGCAGCACATGTTCCACCTGGCAGAGTTTATGAATAGTACGCCTTATGTGTACATTCAGAAGCGCTACCAGAACGGATACGACGAGGCTGGGAGGAGACCGAGTGTGCTGCATGTTCCATGAAGGAAGTCGAGTGTGCTTCTGTTTTGTTTTCAGACAATGATGCCAAGGCTTAGATTTTCTGCATTGACGCTCTTCGGACGTATCTAGCAAGTCAGGCTTTATCACATTTCCCACAGATTCGACCATTAAAGATTCGACCATTGCAGTGCAGCCAAGAGATCATCCACAGCTGCCCTTCAAGCTGATGTCAAACCCTTTGGGACAGTCTGCGATGTCTCTTCGCGCCCGAAAAGAATCCGACAAGTTGATGTGCGTTGGAGGCCATTACAGTAGGTTTAATGCTCTTCTCTCGAACAAATCCGCTTTGCAACCTTTCGTCACGCCTGGAGGCGCTCCAGCGGCGGCTCATGGAGCCTCCCAACGAGGAGGTGGCCAAGCGCCGAAGCGACCTGGCGCGTGAGTACGGGAAGTATGGCTTCGAGGCGCGCCGTGACTTGTGTGTTAGAGAATATGTCCAATGTTTTGTGGTTCGAATTGCTTGGGCGGGTGGAAATCCTTGTAGTGGGAACATCGAAAGCAAGTTGGCAACATCGAAATGGCCACTTAGTATAAAGCTCGAAGTAGCCACAGGTTGGGCATTTGAGCGGCAGGTTGGAAGCATCCAAAGCCGCGTCGTGCGCGGGAACGAAGTGCTCTATGAAGTGCAATGGAAGGGCCGCTGGTCAAAGGGTTTGAACACATCGGGCGAGGGTCGGTAGACAAGTAGATGGACAAGTAGATGGACAAAGAGGGAAGAAAAAGACAGCTAAGTAGCATTCAGACAAGTTGACAAGTAGACTCGACAAGACTGTCATATTGTTGCTTTAGATGCAGAATGGAATAGATAGATTGCAGCTGATGGTAACAGATTCTTATATATATAGATACCTATGGTTAGGTTTGATTGATAATAGAAATAAGATGACATAATAGACAGTATAGAACGAAGTCGACCCTGATCAACAGTACAGGTAGTGGATAGGTGTTCAGGGATCCAAAGAGCAGCTGGCTTCGGAGAGCAATGAATGGAGTCTTCTCAGTCCATGTGAGCCAACGTCGGGGACATCCATCCAAAGACTGAGGAGTGAAGCCTGAGGTCTACAATCCTGACCTCTTGTAGTTTGGATGTCCTTTTTCGTTAGATACCAGTGGGTTTGACACGCGTTACATTGATTTTGTGTTCGGATAGTCAATCGAGCTGAGCAGGACTGCCTGGAGTCTTTGAGTAACCCGCTTTTGGGGTCTCCATGGTCCATGGTCTGTGTTTCCTGTCCGGGCTTGTCCAGCTTGCGTGGGCTCGGAACGGGCAAAAAGGCTGTGATGATCCGAAGCAAAACACCTTCGAGAACTTGTCCAAGTTGAAGAAGTTGGACCAGATTGGCTTGGCGAAGGCTTGTTGAGGAAGAAGCAGTCAAGGCCTTTGAGGTTAAGAAGCCTTGGGTCAAATGCATGGAGAACATAGGCAAACGCAGACACAAGGCCATAGTCACCATAATCCGATATGGAGTCATTGTGGCAAACTGCTGCGCAATGCAGTCCTTTCTTGCAAGGTACGGTGTAGGCAGTACCTAAGCCGACCGGTGTAGCACCTGTACCTGCAGCGATCAAACCGTCCGACGAGCCTTGCGAAGGCCTATGATGAGCGAATAGCAGCACAAACTGCGGGGATTGATCAACGGCCACTGACGCAGAAGGAGATCGTCAAGCATCTGGAGCAGTTTGGTCTCCTGTCCGCCAGTTTGACCAACCCTCGCCGGCGAAGGATAAAGTTCGGGGTGAGGATGTCACTTATGGGGGTTGGACCAAGAAATGACTTGATCATTTTGTTCAGGGGTAGAGATGACCAAACCTCAAGCCGAAGGCCGCTGCGGCCCTTCCAAAGCAGAGGCCCGAGGGGCGGATCTCATGAATCGTCCGTTGTCGGAAGGTTCCGCTGCCGCGAACCGTGTCGCGAGATTTTTCGAGGCTTAGATGAAGACATGATCTTGCACCGGGAGATCGGTGGCTTCTCTGCGGGTCAGAAATCCAAGCTCACCCTGGGTGCAGCGTTCTGGACGACACTTGGAAGCACCACTCTGGAAGGGCAGAAGGAGCAGAGGCAGCATACTAGTGAAGGTTAAGCGCAGAATACTAGTGCCCAATCCCAGAGACTGCCTGCAATACTAAGTTACTAGTAGCGCACATGAACGCCTTGCGTGTCTCACCGAAGTGACCTGGCCGAGTCGCCACCCAACGAAACGTGGCCCGCGGCACGTGGGTCGCCCAAGCGCGATGAGTCGAGTCGCGGCGCCGAGTGCGGCGCTGAGACAGGAAGCCCCACATCATCGCGCTGGATGAGCCGACGAATTACATCGACATGGAGACCTTGGACGCCTTGGTGCAGGGCTTGGCTCGATACAAAGGCGGCATCATCGTCGCTTTGTTGCGCAATCATGGGGCAAGTGGAGGAAGGGGGTTGGTGCGAAGAATGTGTGGAGGATCAAAGACTTGACCAAGATACAAAAGACTTGACTGCAACAGAAAGACAGATCTTGTCTTCTTGGAGGGTGTAGGAATGCCTATTTACTGTATATCATGTGGGAGGCCATTGCTACTAGGTTGGAGGCGCTGGTGCGGAAGGTCACATTTCTTTCCTGTTCCGACTTTTGATGGCTCTTGAAGGGTTCTAACGGGGTGAAGTGGTTCTGTCATTGAAGCTTCAAGAAGCCAACTTGATGTCCTGCCCAAGTAGTGGACAAAAAGCGACATGCTTTGCCAGATCATCAGTGTTCATGTTTCTTTCGACGCCGTCTTAGCTTAACACATCTCCATGTGCAGTTCGGAGGAGCCGGTGAGCTGCGCCCAGTTCGAAGCGACTGAGGTCATCTCCCATGCGAGCGAATTCGTGAACCAAGTCTGCAATGAGATTTGGAAAGTTGAAGGGGGTGTGATTGCGGAGAGGACGAAGAAGGACAAGAAGTGAGAGAAGTTCTCATTTCGTCTTGAACATGTGGCCCCGTACTGCACCACGCAGTTTCGAGCGCTTGCACATAGATGCCCTAGTAGCAACTGGGCAGTTTGGAACACGTGTGACCCCATGAAAGTCACTCCAAAGCCTCTTGAATTGAAGAACTGTCAATGATATAATCATTTGGAATGGAACAGCTAAACAAGCCTTGATGTGCTGAGGGTTGACTGGATCGCCCTTGAGACAACTGTAAAGGACCTACCTACTAATTATGTACACTGTGGCTGAAGATAGGAAGGAAGATCGATGTGGCTGACACATGGATTTTGCTCAACCCAAGGACCATGTGTACATCATCTGAATCAAATGGATCATGTGCATCCACACTACATCACTCCATGTTCTTGCGGCCCACAAAGCCCCACGAGTCGTGTTCCTGGCTGCGTCAAAAGCAGTCTAAGCCGGCCGGGACATGATTTTGCAAGACCAAAATCGACGTGCTCGCTGCTGGCGCATGTGTGGATCCTGCATCGGTTCATAGTGTCTCAGCACACGGCTTGCATTCACCACAGCCTTGCAATCTGTTTGGTAGGCTCATAAATGGCCACAGACAAGAGCCCAAAACACGGATTGCTGACGATCAGATGATATCGTGGCTCTTGGTTCTGGGGATGCCTGTGAAAGGGAGCATTTCGGGGTGCCTCAAACTGGTAGGTTGACGGGAGATTCCACGTCGCGCCGTCCGAGCGCAGGACTTCAATCAGGGCAAAGCGCAGCAACGCTACAACGAGGTTTGTAGACATGAGGAGGTCCTTCAGGCGAGGGAAGGGACCCACGTCCACATGGTTGGAGTGTTTGGACCAACCCAATAAAGATAACAGACCTTTCCAGGAGACCAACATCTCCTGCTCAGAAAGTTTCTGGGGAAGGGCAACGAAGGGTTGATCTCATTTTGTTCGAGACACGACCTTGCAGGCCCGATACCAGGAAATGCGCAACTCAATACCAGTCGTAACTGGAAATGGACAAATGGACATGGAAAGAACACGAAGACGAAAAGTCTTGGACGATTTGTTTTTCAAGACGAGAGCTCCAAAAGAGAAGCGTCCAGGTGCTAGAGCAACCAGCACCGCTGGGCTATGAGCGCATGGTGGTTGGAATCTACCAGATGCCATCCCCCATGAAGGACAGTTCAATTCTTCTCTTAAAGACAAAGGGATTTTTCTGTACTGTACCATTCTTGAGCACAGCATTTCTGTTCTGTGTGATGTGACAGTCAAATTCGTCAGCTGGATTTCTTCGGAGGCCAGCCGGCTTCTCCTGGCCTCGGATCCAATCACAATCGCAGACGCAATCAATCACAGACACACGTATTGAAACCCTCTGGTCAAGGGTTTTGACATGCTTTCTGTCCGATTTGGTAGGACCGGGAGTTCCTTTGGAGGGAGTGGGCAGCTTTGCTTCCAACAGAGGCCAGTGGTCCTGTGGTTCAGAACACACATGGTCAAGTGGCCGCATTTCGGATCGAATCATAGCGGAGGAGTTTTTCAATGTCGCTGGATTCCAGCTTTCAGGGGTGGATCGAGCAGATTCTGTGCCCCAAAGCAAATACTCGACTGCGGGGTGCTGCTCAACAGGATGGTGGCCAGTTGTACGTCTCCGTGGCAATGACACCCAGCCCAGAGGTGGGGCATACAGTTTTGGATCATTGTCAGATGGGTGTGCTTGAGTCCAAAAGTAGGGAACCCGGTATATAGGAAGCCTTCGGCTATGCCAGGAAGAAGCGGCGATTCTGCCGCCCAATGACAAGTTTGTGGGACGCCCAGAGAAGTTTGGGCGTATCAGATGAGTTCTTGACGGCTTAGGCCTAGTAGCAAAGGGCATTTAGAAACTAGTAACAAGGCCTATTGGTAGCTAATTTGCCGTTCTCGTTGGTCCTAACAATTCACGTGCTTTTTTGCCCGGCTCGGCCCGGTGAGCCACGTCCTGTCGTTGGGACGACCCTTCCAGGTGCGTGGGCACCTGCATCTTGCTGCCACCTTAGCGCGGCAGGAGCCCGGCTCGGCCGAGGCGCGGAGGCGGACGGCGAGTAGGCGACGGGAGAGCTAGGACTCTTCAACCCATCAGCAAGATGATGCAAGATCCACCTTCCTGGCAAGAACGGGAGCAAAAGCAACCTCCCTAAAACCACCCAAACGAATACTTCCAACAAGAAGCAAATCGCTCCCGTGCCCGCCAGAACTCCTGAAGCATCTGCTGCTTTGTCAGCAAAGGGATTTTCCTTAATCGAGAGTCATGCACCCATGCAGCTGTCCAGCCAAATGTCGAGAGTGTGATTCAGGCGAGAAAAAACCCTTGGCACACCGAATCTGAGTTTCCCTAAACAGGTATATAGGAACCACATGACTAGTGCGTGAGCTATCCTGCTTAGTTAAGTGGGCGCCTATTTAACTAAGTAAGGAAGCATTGCCATGGGCTAAAAGAAGGAAGCCAACAAGCCGTGTGGGGTAACAACAGCCTGGGGGCCCGGTTTTTAGCCAAAGCCGGCTGCTGCCCATGCCAACCATCGGTAAAGACATGAGTCATAGGCGTCCGGTCTTCCTTTTTGACGGTCTATTTTGCTCTTATCCGAGTGAGTTCGAAACGGGCGAAGTGGGGCCAGCGGGGGGAATGAATGATCAGCTTTTGGCAGGTCAGCGCTGCCAGTGTCATCATGGGCGACGTTCGTGGCCTGGAGCTCACTCGGGTGCGACTCGAAGGAGAAACTAGCGACTTTGGTGTCCAGGCAGTATGCCCAAAGCGGTGCAGAACATGGTGGCTGGCAATGAGGGGTGCCCCAGGGGTCTTGGGTAGCATGATGCGACCTGTGTCCACCTCCTTTTCGGGGGCACCGTGCGACCAAGGCCTCAAGCTATCTCATCAACTTTCGGGATGCACACTCACGCTGAGCGACGCTTTCGGTGAAGCACGGCGCAGTGTTCGCCGATTTCCCGTGGGACCACACCTTTGGCCCCGATTTTCCAAGACTGGTACGAATTGGTGGACCAGCCTTTGCTTGTTTGCTTGTTCAAAGCTGTTTAATTTATAAGTACCCACCTCCCAGAAGGATATAGATGGAAGGGGATTTTAAAGGAAGATGATCAAACCAGGATCAAGTAAGTAGCAACTTTAAATCCCTGCCAAGATTTCTGAAGTGGGTAGTAGGAGGTCCCATTTTCTGGATCTACTGCGGTCCAGTTTTCGAGCCTTTTCAGCTCGGGCCAGCGCACAAAGTGCTGCTGGGCTGGCAAGGAAGGTCAAAAGCTGCGCAGCTCGTTCAGGCTGGGCTGGTAGAGGATTTTGTTCTGAGCCGACAGGGTATCTTGATTGAGAGTGAGGTTGACCGGGTCAGCTCGTCTTCTTGGTCATATTTGTGGCCAACTGTGCCAACTGTGCGAGTTGAGGCATGTTTTTGAGGCAGTATTAGGACGCTATGCTCGGTGGAGGCCATCGCAACTAGTAACAAGAAGCTGGGGCTCCTGGCCTTACTATTAGGAGCAAGGACGCTACTAGGGTTTCTGCTTGGCATTACTACTAGTAGCATTCTTACTACTTGTAACAAGAAGCTACGAACGTAACAAGTTGGGCACTCTTGAAGGTCTGGACACTTCTCTACTGTACGCTTTTTGGCTCGATGTATAGAAGGAGGATTCAGGGCATCGTACGTACAAATTGAACTACTTGCAAGTAATTCTAGCACCTGCTGTCACTCACTAGGAGCCCACAGCTTGGTTTTAAGGGGAGAACGACAAACTGTCAGAGCATCGACTATCTTTCACATTTGGAGCGGGTGGCAAACTGGCAGACACCCCAAACCAGAAATCACAAAAACACCAGAAACACCAGAAACAAGGCACGTCTGCGAAACCTTCGAGTTCCGGTACTATGGGGCGCCCGCGGCCTCGTTGCCTCACTTGACCACCAATAGCTGGATCTCAGCGTGACCGTTGCCAAACCAGCGGCTTGGTGGAGCGCCATGGGAACGGCCTTGGCAGCTCATTGTTGTGCCAGCGAAGAAGACGGGCTTGATGAGAGAGGTATAAAGATGAAGAAAGACGTCGCCTTTGTGACGATTCCCTTAGATGGGAAATCCATGGTGGAGAACCTCCAGGGGCATTGGTATCGCCAGGGGGACAACAAGCATGTGGGTGAGATCAATGGATCTCACCTCCTTTGGAATCCTCAATGGGGCTTGAGAGATGTGTTTTCCAAGCTCAGTGAAAGTGAGACTGGTCTTTTGGAGGTGAAGATGGAGGGCGAGATCCGGTACGCCACGGTCTCCGGACCCCCCTACTCCATCATGTGGGCCGATGGCGACATTTGGGTGAGAAGGTAGGAGAGGAACCTTGCCAATCTCAACCTGTTAGCCCAAGATTGAAGGCAATGAATCGGTATGAATGTCATCAGATTCTAAAGATGATCTCGGAGAGGAGTTATTCCACCGTATTCCGTATTCCCAAAGAATCTCGGCCTACTCAGCCAGCTATCTTACATGAAAGTGACCTCCGAAGCAGATTCCCAAAATCTTGGACTTAGCAGGCACCGTCGAAGAGAGCTCAGACGCTACGCTTCGTTCGTTCGGCTTTCCAAGACAGACCGAACAGATGGATCGGTTCGTGGGATTGGACTCGCTCCGACGCAAGATGACGATGCAAATGGACCCCTTTGATACGCAATCTTGGGATATCTTTGATGAATAAGGAGGTCGACTTCCTTTTTGAGGGGACAAACATGACAAAAATGACAAAAATAAGAACTTCTATAAATGACTGTGGCTGGAGTTGCGTCTAAGCCTCCGTGCCAGCAAGCGCAGTGCACCCAGTGGAGCCAGTACATGTAGCAGATTCCGAAGACGGCGTGTGCATTGACAGATTGGGGAACTTCATGGTCTAAATTTAGTAATGCTCAGCTTGCTTCTCGAGAAGTTCGATGCAACATGTGACACGCCTCATCTTTCAGAATTCAGCTTTGGCAAACGAGCAAAATGGTGTCGCAGGGGCGGTTTGGCCTTGAGAAGCATATCAGTTCAGAGGTTTTGGAAAATTGGCTCCTCAAAGGTGCACCGGAGGGTTAAAGTTCTTGGAAGATGGGTATGGGCCGGGTGTATCTTGAATGTATTGATGCTGCAGCGATTCAGTTGCTCTTGGGGGCCGACTCTGTCAATTACCATTGCCGTTGCTTTTCCTTGTTGGCGCCTGAGCGGTACTTGTTTCAGAAGCAGTTGTGTTTGCCCCTGGCAGAACCTGTAGCCCACTTGTTGAAGCCAAAAAAAACAGGGCGGAGTGAGGTTTGTGTTCATTCTTCGGCTGAGTGGCCAGTCGCTCGCAACCAGGTCGCTGCAATGGGTGGATGCACAGGTGGGGTTGGGAGGATGTCCTCACAATGCCTTACGTACGAGCGCTGCAGCGCTGCCTGTCCTGCCAGTCTCCAGTTTCCAGCTTGTTGAGAGCATGGTCTAGCTACGTTTGTTCTTGTTCTTTCCGCAAGTGAAAATGGATGCCTCCGTTTCAACACAGAGTGCACGTACATCCTTTATGCAACTACAAGGCGGATTCGTAGTCCCACTCGTGTGCAGGCAAAACAGCTGATGCCCCAAAGCCTGGGAACAAGGTGGGACGGATGTCGCAAAAGAGAGCACTGGTCTGATGTGCAAGACTAGAAGTCTTCTGTTTCGAATGGTGATCACTCCGTAAACCCATCTCTGGCCCAAACCCGTTGAGAATTCGCCAAGGGATTCGCTCCCAGAGACGCCCCACAGCTCCTCCCATCCAGGGAACTTCCTCGGTCCCGAAGAAGGACATCAAGGAGGGTGGCATTGGTCACGCCCGACCGCCCAGAGAGAAAACACAGCCGGAGCGTCGCTTGGGGGAGAGCTTGGGGTATGAAGGGCAAAGCGTGCTTGGGTGCTTGATAGGTACAGGGCTCCTGGAGAAATGTAGAAGACACGTCCTGATAGAAGGATCTCCAGTCAAGCTCCAACATTGACATGTGGCACCATCTCACGAATGTGGAACATAGAGTGTAAGAGAGAGAGAGCACGCGTCGGGAGAACACAGCGTTAGTGGAAAGGGATGCGTCTACGCTTGTGCAGGAACAAGGTAGTGAAGTGCCTCACTTGATAATGATTGTAGTCATGCAGTCTCCATTGTAGTGGCACTGATTCTGCCAGTTCATGTCAGGCACAGTTCATCATCGAGAACACCGGCAAGATCACGGACCGCAAAGCATTACTTTGCAACACATGGGGCAGATTGGGAAGTGCGTGCAAAAGCTCGCCGATGCGCGCGTCGAGAGCAGACATTTTAGAGGTCGTTTTATGAGGTTTCTGCTGTTTTGGTGTTCTCTTTTCTGTGAGCATTTTTGCCGACCTTGAGCCCCAAAAACACTCCTCCAGACTGTACCCTCACCACTCCTCCATCCCCTTTCCGCGCCTGGGACCTTTGGCCACACAGGACTACTACCAACTGGACAAGAAGAAGCTCGGTGAGGGATCCTATGGATCGGTGTCCAAGGCGACGAACATCTCCACCAAGGCGGACCCTCCGGTGGCGTGGTCCGGTGGTTGGTGAAACGGAAGGCCCCGGTGGCAGCCGCCGTGAAAGCGGTAAGCACTGGGTGACATCGTGATGCCGTCCACTCTCGGGCCAGTTTCTTTGAGATGAACAGGTGAACAGAGATGGAAGTGTGCGGATTCTACCTGTTCTGCTCTTTTGGTCTTCGGTGGGATTTGCTAGGACTTCCTCAGTTTGCAGGGCATGCATCCATCGTAATGCATCATGATGCATGCATCCTTTTCTCTTGCTAAAATCGTGGTTGTTTGAGGCCATTCGCGCTGTGAAGACCATCTCCAAGTCTCAGATGAAGAACTTGGAGCGCTTCAAGCAGGAAATTGTGCAATGCTCAGCGCGCGAAGCGCTGGACCAGCGAGACCAGCCCGACACCACACACACACACACGGTGAAAAGAGCAACACACAAGGATACACAAGGAATAGTGTCTTGATGTGTCTTGTATTTTTTGCTCCTTTTTTCGGTGCTTGCTTGTGTTTGCTCTTTCTAACATTTGTAGAAACCAAGATTCGGACACCTTAGTAGGATTTCTCCACACCTTTGGATTCACCAGCAGTTTGCGGGCAGGGTTGAGCTGTGATGTCGTGGGTCTTCATTCTTCATGAGGCCATTATGAAGATGATGGATCATCCCAACATCATCAAGCTCTTCGAATCTTTTGAAGACCACAGGAGATCAGTGGGAATGGATGCGCTTTCTCCGCATCGGCATGGCACATGGTCAAACGATCGCTTGAGTGTTTCTGGCCGTGTGAAACTGGAACAGGAACATCTATTTGGTGATGGAACTGTGCTCTGGCGGCGAGCTCTTCGATCGTATCATCGAGCCTGGAACCTGGGAATTGGGGTACTTTTGGCATTCTGCGCCCTTTGAGGCTTGGAGTTTTCTTTCCTCTCTCAATTGGTTGCTTTGGCTCGTGTCCATTTGATCATCCGGGCAGTTCCACTCGCGGCCGTAAGAACCCGGTTCCGCTCGTGCTGAGATCGGGTCACTTCTCCGAAGTGCAAGCGGCCATCTTGATGCAGCAGATCATCCGCAGGGGCCCCTGGAGGGGGAGGTTTTCCTTTTTGGGGGTGGAGGAGATCATCTAAGATCATCTATCCTTCGGAACCTCGCTAAGGGGCGGTTTTCCAAACGATTATGTCTCCCACCGGATCAACACAGTTGGTCCGGACTTCCTGCAGTGAAGAGTCATGGTTTTCTGACGGGAAGGGAAGGGCAGGGAAATGGATGTCTTCTCTGCGGTGGGCAGGGTCTTGGCCTCTTGCTTGCTTCAGGTGCCATCTACTACATGCACGAGAACCAGGTTTGCCATCGCGATCTGAAGCCTGAGAACTTCCTCTTCATGACCAAGGCAGTGGGAAATTGCAAGACTGCCGGGACCTCCCCTAACCAGTAGAGCTTGTCATCCATCCCATCCCCACTACGTGTGAACCACGCTCCTTTGCTGCTGTTGGTTGACCACCTGCACCCAGAGTTTCACCTGGCAACCTTTTTCTAGGTCTCAGGGTGCTCCAATGATCGGCAGGACCCCATCGAGAAGAATTTCTTGAAGATCATCGACTTCGGGCTGTCATGCAAGTTCATCCCTGGCAAGGCCTTTAACAAGCATCCAGCTGAATGTTGGCAGGACCTGATGTTAGGCAGTCCCTAAAGAGTCCCTAAAGATACTTAAAGCCTGTCGCTCCTTGTTGTGAATTTCCACTTGGATTTTGATGTCTCAGATCAATCCATCCGATCCATCCTGTTGGTGGATGCCTTGTGGCCCCTTCTAGCTTGGTCTTGCCCGCCAGCCCCTGGCCACCAAAGCGGGCACGCCCTACTACGTGGCGCCCCAGGCCCGGTATGTTTTGGAGGGTGCTTGTTGCCGCACCAGCGACGAAGCCAAGGGACATGCGGTTGGTGTCGGGTGTTCTCTTCACCGTTCTCTCCCGGGCTCTAAGTGGAAAGGAAGAACAGCAACGTCCTCGTGGACGTGACACGTCCGACAGAGTGGCCGCTGAGAAGTGGACTGTCTCCGCCACCGATTCCGTGGGCACCGTTTTTCCCGCAAGGAAGGCCGATCGGTCGGACGGATCTTTTCAAGGCATGGGCTTTCTCTGTGTGTTGAGCACGAGCGCATCAGGCGTGCCACATAGGACAGTAGGTTGAGACTCAGCTGAAGCTACTCGCTCAGCGAGTACAAGGTTCTTACCACCTGACTTGTGTGGTTTCATGATATTCTCCAGTCCACTTGCTGCTCTTCAATCATCTTCCTCGGTGGGGAAAAGAATGGACAAGTTCTCAGACCATCCGTGTTACTGTTCGGTCGCAGGTCCTCGCCGGGAACTACGACCAGCTGAGCGACCTTTGGTCCTGCGGAGTCATCATGTATGTGCCTCCGGAGTCGACTGGGGGGAAGCCACAAGACGAGGTCGAGATTGAGTTCCCCTACGGGAAAATGGGTACTAGTAGCTTTTTGTTACTAGTAGCGATGGCCTCCACCCTAAATATATAGCTGGTCGTCAAATTTTGAGGTTCACCTTTTGGAAGTGAAGATGTTCGGAGTCAATTAGCACGTGGCCAAGTACTTGGCCACTTTTTGGCATCGCCCGAAACCCAAAACTTGTCGATGGACCCTTGAAAGAAGTAGGTGCCTGCTTCGGCACAAAGCTCTCAGATGCTCATGTTTGGGAAGGCTAAACCAACGAAATCGGTCAGTGCGCCGCTCGGTCAGTGCTCCACCTTTTAAGGTGCTCCTCTGTGGCTACCCGCCCTTCTTTGGGGACACCGACTCCGAGGTCTTGGCGAAGGCCAGGAACGGCTCCCTCCCGGAGTAGAAAACAGCAACTGAGCAGCCACTGACTTCTTCACTTTGGCTTCTGTGTCTTCTCCACTTCGAGCTTCGCCCGTCACCGGTCCCTTGGCCCGGCGAGGTGCGCCTGGGGAACTTCAACTTCAATCCCTCGGACTGGAAGAACGTCTCGGAGGATGCCAAGACGCTGATCCGCCGGGGCACCGAAGGGAACCGAAGCACGCCGTCTTGGGGGGCGAAGCGGAGAGACCGGCCAAAGCGGAGGCCGTTCCTTCATTTTTTGGTTGTGATATGTTGTGATGCATAATGCATGGCACAAGGGATCTTTAGGCATAGAGGCATATAGAGGACTGATTTCCAAGAGGTAGCAAAAGTGACAGTGTGAAGTCGAAAGCCCCTGAAGGTTTTAAGAGTCAACAAGATGAGTCTTTGTGGAATGGATCTCCCACAGCTCTTTCTTCCACCTCTTTCCAGAGCCCGTTTCGGAGGCCACTTGCTGAAGATGAATCCCAAAGACCGCTACACAGCCGAACAAGCCCTGAACCACGAGTGGATCAAGAACAAGGCACACCCACTGGGGAGACATAATATGCATCACACCTCGAATGAGGTCTCTCCTGCGTGGCCTGTCGTGAAGCTGTGAGCGAAATTGGGATATCATCATGCTGATGCGAAATGATGACATCCTTTCGGGGATGGTCAAACCATGTCAAACCATGCCCACTGTTTTGTTTCAGGCTTTGACCAAACACACAGCAACAAGGGCATTGCTACTAGTAACAAGGGCATTACTACTTACTACTAGTAGCTAGAAGCTACGCTACGTTCGTAGCAATGCCCTTGTTCCTTGTAGCATTCTTGTTACTAGTCCCGTCGCCTCGGGTGTGTTGGGATCAGCTCCACCGGACACGGTCTTCCGTTGCTCGCCTTGAGTTTTAGCCGCTCGCCTCGAGCGACGTCTGCCGCCACGGCGGCGAAGTGACGGGCCTTTTGCCTCAGACGCGCCATGGGCTGCTCTCCTGGCAAGATCGCACAGCACGACTTCTCCCCGGCCTCCAGTATGAGCACGGACTGATCCTTGGATCAACCTTCAAGTGCTAGTAGTGATGCTGGTATGCACTTCCTGCAGTTTGAGCAAGTGATGACACTATGATCACTATGGGCGGTTTGGTCGTTTTCTAGTCAATCACCGACTGTGTTGGATGGGAATGCACCCCCAAATTGAAGATCGGGGAGTTGGCAAACACCAAGTGATGATTCCAATGATCTTGGCTAGTCTGATGAAGCCTTGACACTTGGTGTCTTGGTCTTGGACGCAACCCTATTGTTTGCAAGTCTGCAGCTTGACAGTGCGTGACTCGAATGACCACTTATGCTGACTCGACAAACATTAATATGATGATACAAATCCGAAATGTTGTGATGTACAAAAAGGTGATTCTGCAGGCTCCTTTGCTTTGTCTTCATGTTGCTACTTACCCAAAGACACATCCGCACGCAATGCGGAGTCTTCCACCCGCATGCCATTGAGGTAGTTGGCACCCTGTGAATTCTGATGTGTCCACTGTGGTGCCCCCCAAGCGGCGCACCACCGGGGATGAGGTGCTCCAGGCGAAGTGGAGGGGTCGTTGGAAGTGGAGGGGTCGAGCGACGTGTTGTGCCGGACAATGGACACTGGTTGGAGAGTTCAACGATTGTTGTGGGAGCGGTTGTTCGTTGGGGTCGGTCGTTTCAAGACACCAAGGCTATTCTCAAGTTGGAGAGAGGCGCATCGAGTAGACCTTGTGAAAGCGGGATCATCCTCACAGCAGGAGCGGGAAGGGGCAAACACACGAATTCTTGCCATGATTTCGGGCTCCGGAATGTGGATCGTGGAACTTGAGAGATGTCCAATAGTCCAATCCCATCAGATTTTCGTTGTGATTGTTTGAATGCAATTGCATGCGTCGACAGCCTCAAGAAAGCTGGATTGCCAGGAGGCTGCCAAGGATGACCTGCACCCGATGACGGTAGCAGCATTTGGATGCACCAACCAGTGTGCCAGTTTGTGTTGCATCAACAACTCGCCGAAACGCGCGTGTGTGTGAGGGATGTATTGCTATATTCAGAGCAGTGCTAAGGCGGCTCTGCAGCTTTAACTTTTCAAAGAGGTGGCGGCTCTGGCCACACTGTGCACAGGCCTGTCCTCTGCACCTGATGCATATGATCATATATGATCTATCCTTTAGCTTAAGGCCCTTTGCAGGCCTCTACTCCAAGTCATCGTTGGCTGTTAGACAGGGGACAGCATAGATGAGGAAGATGTGTGAGTGATATGTAGAATTTCTGAAAGCTCACTTCTCTTGGCGTTCCTTCGCCTCAGAGCAGGCCGGAATGGGTAAGTTCGGAGCAGCAGCCCTCGATTTCAAGTCACAATGATAATTTTATAGAGAACTTTTATGCATGTAAATGGTTCTGCTCTTACGGCTATATATTCATAATTATATATATATATGTGCATGTAGTAATTTGCATTATTTTCATATTCCTTTAAGAACAACAGTTTAATCCATTTGTCATTTCAATTCTGTCCTTTAGGGCGAATCTCTTGACGTTGGCTGATCTCTGACCGGCACCTACCTTTCGAGATCCGCTGTGCCGTCAGTGTTCGCGGTCGGAGGTGGGAGGTTGAGGTGTTTGAGGTCATCCATCAGAGCACCGGCACCTTTTGAATTGCAGAACCAGGAGATGGAACTGCAGGTGCCATACGACAGGAAGGAGACTGCCCCAACTAGCGCCACCCCGCGAGGGCGGGTTGGGGGGGCTGAGCTTCGACCACGAAGAAAAGGTGCGTGTGCTGTGGAGTTTTGAGAGGACTTTGCTCATCATCGTCCCCCACAAAATGCCCGATATCAATTTTGAGGACCCCGTTTCGATCTAGGACCAGAGCAGTGAATTCATTTCCACGCTATTTTTATACTATTTTATTTCACTCAAACATGCTTTATTTATTGCTGTAAAATGATTGAATCTGCCTTGGGTGGCGGAATCTCGACTTAGCAACAACTGTTAGCTGTTTTCTTGCCGCTCCCAGCGCCAGGCACCCAAAGCCTCCCATGTGGCGTTGCAGTCGAACTTTGTGGACAACCTGCGCGGCTTCCGATCCCAGAACAAGCTCAAGAAGGCGCTGGTGGATGAAGGTGACTTGAGTGGTGGAAAGGTTGCTTCCCACCACCATGCAATGTGCTCTGAAATCCTCTCAATGACCGGCATACGGAGCTGTCAGTGTCCTCCGCAGAAAGATTCACTGCTTCACGTTGCCTATGGTTTCTATGGATGCCTATCGTTTTTAAACATAACTTTTCAATCAGGTCTGGCTTTCCTGTTTCTTCATTGCACTACTCTTGCGATTGATTTGTAGGCCACACACTGATGGTATCCAACCCTGCCAATTTTAGAGAGGTGTTTCGCGGTCTTTGGATGTGGCGAAAGCTGTTTGGTTTCGAAGGCAGCTCTGCACATCATTGCGGGCCAGCTCAATGAGGACCAGATCAAGGCTGGGCTGAGCCTTCCCCAAGGGAAGACGAGTGGGCTTCTTGGTTCCTTGTGAAGTTCTTCCAAAGAATGCAGTGCGATTTTGCATGCCAACTTTACTTTTGTGGCAGACTGAGCAGGCTCAAACCCATAGGCTACCATCTTCACGGCAGAGATCCAAACACGAGTTCAATAGACTCAAAACTTCTGCATGTCAGGCTTTACAGTTTTAGCCACTCATTCGACTCATTCGTCTTATTCGGCGCTCGTGCTGGTTGTGTCTTGCTTCGTTTGCCCCGTTGCTTTGTACCAACAGGCGCTCAGAGACACCTTCATGGGCCTGGACAAGAATGGCCCCTCGGAGTCATCTCCGCTCCCTCCCAGTCATCCGAAACGCCAAGGGAATGGCCTAGGGCGCTTCGCCAGTAGTAGTAATGCCCTTGTTACTAGTAGCGATGCCCTTGTTACTAGTGGTTTTTGAATGTGTTTGATGGGTTTGGGCTCTTCGTTTTTGTCCGATCAACAAACCGGCCGTGCTTTCCACTTCCATGTTCGACATGGAGAGTACGATGCATCAGGTTTGTGTGATCGGCTGGGGAAGTGACGAAAGATGGTGGGGAGGAAACAAGCAAAGAAACCAAAACATAGAAGACGGAGGTTACTGAACGCATTTGGAGATGGATATACCATGATATACCATAAATAATTGTTGAAGTGAGTGATTGGTTGGGTCGGATGTTCACGCTTTCCCGGCCGCTGCTGTGATCTCTCGAGATCTTGACCCGACATGGCATCGCCTTTGAGGTCCGGCGAAAAGGTCGCTTCGTAGAGTCTTGAACTGCGTTCACTCTGCATCAGTGGCACCGGAGACTCGACCCAGGTCATTTTGCTTGCTCGCTTTTGGCCCGTTGCGCTGCTGGCCGCTCGCACTCCGCTCTTGACCTCTTTTGCACGCCCCCCTGACCTTTGAGCGCTTCCTCCCTGTTTTCGTGGCCGGGTGATCCTTGCGGTTCACGTCGGCTAGGTCGGAGACAGAGAGAAGAAGCAGGTCGTTGAATTTGCACCGAGGCCCTTCCTATAGTTCTGGCCTCCTTTTTGCTAGTTTCACTACATCGAAAAGCCGACCTTCGCTTTGCCCCTTGTTTTTGACAGTTGCCCCACCTCGAGATGGCTGAGGAAGAGAGGGGACAAAGAAGTACAACCTTGCAGCTCGCTGGCTGCTGAGGCAGTCGGGAATCGTGAGGCAGCGGGGCGAAGATTTTTTGCCTCAGGGCTTGCAATACCAACGAGAAGAGACTGCCGTCGATCCCCAGACTGAGGAGTCCTCGAGGAGGTCATCATCCTCGTGCACGAGGACGCGCTGTCAGGTTTGAGGAAACTCCTCAAAGCTCTCGAGTCCATCAACGGCAAGACCGTGCTGGACAAGCGTGGCGATTAGAGAAACGCCTTCTACCTCGAGCTCCAAAGACGACCTGGAGAGCGCATCAACGAGTTCTGCACTCGGTTCCGATTGGCCGTAGCCGATTTGAAGATGGAAGGAGTCACCCTTCCGAGCTCGGAGCTGGGATGGTTCTTGAAGCAGAAGTTGGGCTTGGATGCAATCAGGTTGCAGTTGCTTGAGACGGCACTTCAAAGCCGCGAGAGCTACGAGGAGACGGAGATTGAAGTGTTGCGGCTCTTCCGGGATTTGCATGTTGCTGACCCCCTTGCTCGACGACACCAAGGTCATGAGCAATCCCATCATGGAAACCGCAGTCCTCTCATGAACAAGTTTTTGTCCTCACAGCACCATCAAATCAGAGGTCCTTCATCCAGGAGTTCGTATGCCGCCTCGACAGCTCCCTCGACGTCTTCGTTTGGGTCTGGCCGGGGTCACGCCACCTATACCGGTCCGACAGGTCCTTTCCTTCGAAGAAGCCACAGCCTCGACAGGAAGAACCGCCTGAAAAAGATGACCCTGAGGCTGAGGAGCACTACACCTTGGAGGAAGTCCTTCAAGCCGAGGCGGAAGTCTTGGCAACAGAGCTGGAGGAAGCAGTTGAAGAAGGGATCGGCGCTGAGCTGGTCCAAGATGTTGAGGACACAGTTGAAAGTGCAGCTGAAGCACTTCTCCTGCGATGGTGGGCACCACACTGGTTTGTATTTGGGTTTCTGAAGTTGAAGTTCCCTCCCTTGGCCTCTTATTGGGAAGAGATTTTTTGGAAAGCGTTGGAGCTCACATGTCCTTTGCCGACCACGCCATCGTTTTCGAGTTCTTGAAGTCCCAAGCGCTGGCGCTCAAGCAATTGGCTGCAGGCCACTACATGCTGCAGCTGGTGCCTTCTCGATGGGAAGGTGTGGGGACTCAGCAAAAGTGGAGGAAACTTGGTGTTGATGGTGTTTGTGAAGTTCAACTGTCGGTTCGCCAGCGGTTGAAAGTGAAGCTTGCAGCATCTAAAGCCGCCAAGAAATTTGAGCATGAACACTACCTCACCGAGTCAAGTGTTAGAGCCAGCCGTGTGGCGCATGGTCTTGCAGAACGTCACCCCTGCAGCTTGGTTCAAACTTCCAGGCCAATGTCCCCAGGTGCGAAAGCGCCTACTTCGACGACTTCACCTTCGACGACCTCCCCCTCGAGCTCGATTACCAGTGCTGCTGACGATGTTCGGAGGAATCTTCCGAGCAAAGGGCGAGACCCAGAGCCACGATCGCGATGGCGATCAAGGAGATCGAGCGGCTCTTCGCTGGAGTCGCCTGGTCGGAAGACTCGCTGCCCGGCTAAATTGGCACTTGTGGGGTGTGTTGCTTTGGCTTGCGCGGCGTCCATCAATGCGGTTTGTGCCTTTGCCGTACCCGTCCATCGGCGCTATCAAGCAGTGGAAGTTGCAGGCCGAGAACATGGAGCTGGCCGGTGTTTTGCCCAAAGGGACGGTGATGAAGGCGACGCTTCACGGCAACTTCACCTCACAAGCTATGGCCGACTGCATTTGGCTTCGCAATCGCGTGGGACTACGTCTGGCCTTCCTGGACAATCCTGTGTTGACCGGTATGCTGGCAGCCAAGTCCGCCAAGGGCCTGACGGCTCGTGTGAAAAGTGCAGCGATCGAAGAAGCGAAGCAGCAGGCAGCAGAAGCTCGAGCAGCAGGCCCGTGCCTTGATCGGTCCTCGCGGTGGCCTTCCAACTCTTCGCGCCGATTTGGTCAAGTTGGCAGCGTTGCTCAACACTCCCGTGAACGAGAAGATGACCGTGCCCCAGATCAAAGCCGTCTTGAAGCCCACAGTCGAGTTGTTGAAAGCAAAACCAAGTCAGGCTTCATCATCGACGAGCCCGGTGGCACCATCAACACTGCCCAGACCGACTTCGGCGCCAACGATCATGAAGGCAAAGGCGAAACCGCCTCCCGCTGCCATCATACACCTTTGGCGGCGCCTATGTGTGCTGGCGGCCTTGCAAGTTCCGCTTCTGGTGGTCCAACCCTGCACGCCCCTCAGCGGTTGGAGCAGCAAATTCAACGAGCTCGCGCCTTGGACAAGCGTCCTGCTGACGTTGGAACTGAGGAGCTGCGCAGTCAAGCGACTGAGCAAGCTCCCTTTGAGCGCCCTGCGCAAGAGCCTTCGCATTTCAATGACACTCTTGTGGTCAGCAAAGAGGACATCCTGTCCATCTTGGAGAAAGGAGACGATGTTCATCCTCTGGTCAAGCTTTATTGCGAAGCTTGCGTTGACCGTGCCAATCCTCTTGATGCTCAAGTACATGATCATGGCGCCTGGGATGGACGTTGGGGACTGCCTTCACGCTCCGAATGGAAGGCTCGCGAGAGTCTTGGTCTGATGTGGCCATGCGGCCGTGATGACAATGAAGCCCTTGCTGTTCAAGCTGCTCGCAAGGAATACTACTACTGGAGGGCGATGACGCCTGAGCAGAAGATTGCCTACTGTGGTGCAGCTGAAACGGGCTGGAGTGTTTGGGCGACCAAGGATGCTGTTGAGGTCCTCGATGAGAACACCTCCAAGAAGATCCGAGCAGAGCTCAAGAACAAGCGTGAGGACTGCAAGATTCTCACGCCCCGCTGGGTATTCACGGACAAGCGCGATGGCTTGCGCGCCAAAGAGAACAACCTGGGCATCAAACCGAGCGCAAGATTGGTTGTGCCTGGCTTCAAGGATGTTCTGTCCTTCAGCTTGCGAGAGGATGCACCTACTGCCTCCCGCTGGCCCAGCACATTGTGTTCACCTACACAGCCTCTCTCTTTGACAAGCATGGTTGGCGGCTGATGTCGTGCGACGTGAAGTCGGCCTTCTTGCAGGGAGACCCCTACATGGATGGAACGCGAGAGCTCTTCATTGAGAATACTCGTGGTCAACATGGTGAACCTCAGCTTCCTTTTGGCGCCAACTGCTTGGCGCGTGTGAAAAAGAGTGTGTTTGGTTTGAGCGATGCGCCACGGCAGCGGTACCTTCGACTTCACCGAGCCTTGACAGAGCTTGGATGGGAGCGCAACTTCCTCGATGCCGCATGCTGGATGCTTTGGGACACTGAGCGCAAGCAGCTGCTTGGCATTTGTTTGTCACATGTTGACGACCTGCTGGTCGGTGGAAGCAAAGTTGCTCGTGACAGCATCCTGTCCTTGGAGAAGGTGCTTGGTTTTGGCTCCGTCGAGCGCGACACCTTCAACTACTCCGCCAAGCGCATTGCACAAGACACCACAACTGGAGTCATCACTGTCTCCATGAAGGAGTACCATGAGAATGTGCGCCCTGCTGCCATCCCACGCACAGGCGTGCTGAGCCTGACAGTGCCGTGACGCCCGGCGAGCAGAAGCAACTCAGAGCCCTTCTCGGCTCACTTCAGTGGCTTGTGGCGCAAGTCAGAGTGGACCAAGGATTTGCACTGAGCACTCTACAGGGTGAACAGCCTTAGATGGACCTCCTTCTCAAGCAGATGAAGCTCACCTCTGCATTTGGCCTTACTTTCAGGCCGATGGCGCTGGAAGATGCTGGCGTGCTGGTGATTACGGACTCCTCCCTGGGGAATGTCACCAAGTCCGGATCTGTCCTTGGCTCCAATGCCGAAAGGTGTTCAGCCAGTCGTCCTACATGGTCATTCTGGGGGATGCCAAGGATGCAAGGTGAGGAAGGCAGCTTTTGCCTGTTTGCAGGAGCACTTCGTTTAAAGGTCTGCCCATGGACAACCACTACGTGGATAGCATCATGGATGCGATCCCACTATGTGTGGTGGTGGACGCGACGGACGTCTACGACAAGAGTTCTTCCGAGACCACGTTCGGGAATCAGAAATCCCTGGCCTTCGCTGCTGCCTGGATGAGGTCAGTCCCGAGGCGCCCCTTGACAAGTCTGAGGTGGACTGCCACCGAGAACATGCTGGTGGATGGGGGTACGAAGTTGATGGACATGAAGCACCTCCGCGACACGCCGAGCCGCGGCCGCTGCATGGTCAATCAAATTCCATACGGAGTTCATCAAGGGCAAGTCAAAGAAGACCAAGGTGAAAGATGCACCGTGCCCGACTGAGCTGCCTGGTGAACCTTTGAGTGAGAGCCACCCGATTTTTCCTTATTTGCCCCAGCTGTCGGAACGACCAGGCTGGCATTTTGAAGACAAGATGGCCATCCAAGTGGTCAAACAGGCCAAGTCCTTTCGTTCGCCTCTTCCGAGGATTGATGTAAAGTTGCTGCCATTCAGGAGCACATTTGGTCGATTTGATCACCCGGCCGGTGCCTCCGAGTGGCGACTCCTTGAGGAAGATGCTGAGTTGCATTGTCGAGCTTCACGAAAGCTCTAGGAACCACAGCAGCCATACTGATCACTCTCTACCGCCCTCAACCAACAAAAGACAAGGATTCGCTGTTGAAGTGAATGATTGGTTGGGTCGAATGTTCACGCTTTCCCGGCCGCTGCTGTGATCTCTCGAGATCTTGACCCGACATGGCATCGCCTTTGAGGTAGAGTCTTGAACTGCGTTCACTCTGCATCAATAATCGTATACCGTATACATATATACATATCTAAATGTATCCGCCACAAGGGTTCATTCGCGTACTAATGACCACTATCCGACTATTAAGGTGGAAGATCCTCAAGTAAGTTGATAAGAGGGAATGTGAGGGGGGTGGACTGAGCCAGGTGACGGACTGTTGACGCCGGCCGAGCTGAAGGAAGGATTGCAGAAGGCACGACTTTGAGCTGTTGAATCCAACATGAGCGGTGAGCGATATCCAACAAGAGGATTCCGGTCTTTGAACCCAGAATGACCTGGTCGCCTGTCATGAGAATGGTTGTCAGGCTGGACTGAAAGAGATTCCTCCAGACCTGCAGCAGATCATGGAGGCTGACCATGCTTCCCATGGCCAAGGGTCGCGCGGTGATCTGCCTTTTGTTCTGTTAAAGTTGTGGGAGCAGTCTTGCAGGGTGAAGGTCTCTGTAATTAGGCCCTTTCGAGGTTGGTGAGATGACCTATCGTTCTTTCGCGCGTCGTTTGCCAGGAGTAAGCACCTCAAGCATCTTCCACATGCATATTTTCAAAACATTTTCAAGACTTCCTAAGTTTGCCGAGTCACTATGCCACTCCGCCCCCCGGTGTTTCCTTCGGAACACGTTCCGATGCGGGAAAAAGGATGTGGATGCGGATGGCAGTGGCGTCATCGACTACACCGAGTTCTTGGCTGCCACCTTGGACAAGTGCCCTGGCCCAGATGAGTCTGGGGCTGGTTTGGTGTCACCAATAGTCTGGGGGAGGACGTGGGTTTGATCAGACGATGTTCTGGGTGTTCGAGCAATCCATCCATGCAACCGAAGGAACGCCCAGTGGTAGGGGATTTGGGTCTGTAGGATTTTGATCATACTGTTGGGGTTCCAGAAATTGATGACCTGTGATCGTGTTTGCATCTCCGTTCAAGAAGTGAGATGCCACCGCTGCTAAAAACATCGTCAGGAGTCTTTTTTGATTCAGCCAGACAGCTGGGAGCGCCGGGCTTTGGAGTTAAAACCAACTTCTGTCCGCCTCCCGCTCCCTAGCTGCATGTTTCCAGGCGCCAATACATCCAGGAGGCACGGGCTGTCAGCCAGCGTCAATGATGTGCCATGCGGCGAACAAAAGGCTTCAAGACCTCACGTGTACAGTCCAAGGCCCTAGGCAGTGCGATGACTGCACATATTTTTATCCGAACTCCTTGTCTCACATTACGTCATGCTGCTTGTAAGGTCGACATTGCAATTGATACTCCTGTCACCTCTTGCTTGAACTGCAAGCATTCATTTTACCCCCAGTCAACAGTGCTCGCAGTTTGATTCCATGTCCTTCGCTCTGTTGGTCAGGATGTTTGCTGGTCTGCTTTCAGAGTCTTCGACAGGACACTTGACCCTGTTCCAGACAATCAACCTTGACATTGTTTGGGAACCACCAGCTTCACGCGATCATTGCACCCATGGAAGCCAGTGACGCCGTTCACCTCCGCACGGACGCTCCAGGAACGGTGACGGCAAGATCTCTCAGGATGAGTTGAAGCAAGTGCTCAACGATGGCCAGGTCGGCTTCGTCGGCTGGAAGCGGTGATTCAGAACTCGCATCTCTCCGGCTGGACCCGTCCAGGTGGAAAGCACCCTTGGACATGAAATGATCGTGGAGCTTCTGAAGGACGTGGATGCCAACGGTGATGGTGTCATCGACTTCCAGGAGCGGCTGCGAGTCTTTGGAGTCTCAAGCGCGGTCCGGGGTCCGGAGAGAGGTCCCAAAGAGTGTCCATCGCTGCATTTGTTCATGATGGATTTGAAGCTGGGCAAAGAAAGAATTGAAGCTGTCTAGAATCTAGAAAGTATGCTACCAGGAAGCTGTGACCTGACAGCTTTGAGGATCTATCAGGTCGAACATTTCCACATCACGAGGTCACGTCTGCCATTTCTGGGGAGGGAGCACGCTCAAAGCTGGCGCCAAAGCTTTGGATCCGTTCGCGTTGGTCTGTATCCGTTCGATGAACCCGCGGTTGGACCGGGAAAAGAAAAGAAAAGGAAGTAAACCAAGCAAAGAACCTACTAGCTTCTTGTTACTAGTAGTAATGGCCTCCAGCCTAATAGTGATGGCCTCCAACCTACTAGCTTCTAGCTACTATTTGTTACTAGTAGCGATGGCATCCACCTAATAGCGATGGCCTCCACCTAGTAGCCTTTCTTCTGGGAGATTCCGGGAAATCTGGTCTCCTCGCCTCGATGTATCAATCGATACATCTGGTATTGCGAGCCGTCTCAGGAGTTCCTGGTAATGATGCGGGGGGGAAAGGCGCCTGAGCCCAACAAAGTCTGAGGCTGGGATTGGGATGAAGTCGGTTGCTGGAGAAATCGGATATGCGACATTAAAGGTCTTATAGCCTTGCAAGATACGGCAAAAAAGAGCCGCACTTGCATGGATGCACACTTCTATCACAAACACACACACACATATATATATATATATATCTATAGTTACACATATATATATATATATTATCTATAGCTATATATATATAGATATCCAATGCAATATAAATATATATATATATATACACAGTATATCCAATGCAGAAAAGGAGCGCAGAAAAAAGCACATAGATATCCAATGGTCTACCAGCGAGCTCTTCGTTCTTTGAGAGTTCGCCTGCGACAGGTGGGAGATGAGGTCTCCGAGATGGCGAATGAAGAGTGATTTGAGGTGTTTGACAGGGGCCCCTAAGTTGGCCAGAGAAGACCACTTTTTCATGTGTGTATTTCTTTTTTTTACACCTGTCCCTTTGGGGGTTTTGGTTTGTGGCCTTGGGTCCCATAATCTTCACCGTCTCACAGCCAGTGACAATTCACGACCTGGCAGCTTGCGGTAGCGTTGCATGTGGAAGAGACTTCAGATGCCATCTCGCTCCTCTCCTTCTCGTCATCGAAATGGGGACGGACATCACTGAAGAGACTGAAATGAATACTTCTGATTGTAGGCCGTTTTCCAGATCTACACAGAGCACACATGAGATCGCGTGACGATCTCTCTCCGGTCTCTCCGATCCCTCCGCCCTCCACTCGGTTCGACAGAACCGCGAGCTGACAGGCCTGGTCCATCCGCGGCCAGGGATGCATCGAACTTAGGCATTTCGTCGTTTTACCGCCAGAGGCCGACGCAGAGAGCCAACGCACCAGAGCCAACGGACTCAACGCATCCGATTCACTGAGATCCCAACTGCTCATAGAGCTTCAGGTCATTTGTGATATTTATGGGACTTGACTACACTTAAGTTGGACTCTTGACATGGCTGCAAGTTGTTGGCACTTGTGTCCGTTCAGCATATGTGACACGGAACGACATTCACCATGGAGGATCACATACGAAAACCTGGACATCAGAAGTCTGGGACATAAAAGAAAGAGGTGTGCTTTCAAGTGCTTTGGGAATCACTCTTTGAGTGTCGGTAGTTTTGTAAAGTGACTTCCCTGACATGTACCTCCCAGCTGGCTTGACATGTCATGCCACTCGATTGCAATGGCTGTTGGACATGGCGCAAACTGCGTTGGTCGGTGTTCCATGCCGCTCTGGCTAATATTTTATCCACCCACAGCAGCGTGGGCGACAGCGGTTGGAGGGGTGGCACATGGATCTCGTCTCTGCACTTGAGGATTCCGTTTTGGGGACCAAAGAAGTTTTCAAAGAAGACATGTGAATGTGAATCATTGAAATGACAGGTGCATGCTTTAGAAACAGAACATGATGCAAGACTTCCGCTGACGGATTTCCAGTAGTCGGACTTCCAACCTGTCCCGCGAGCCCTTGTCGACCGAAGGTCATGTGACATCATGGCCCATCTGGTCGAGGGGGGCTTTTGGAGCTTTTGTCCGAAGAGACTGAAGTTCCTGGGGACAGTTTTTGCGTGAAAGGGCAGCCGAATGGAACAGATCGGAAGCAAGAGCTTCCAAAACCTCCCTACAATTTACAACTGATTCCTTTTGGGGGGTGACCCACCTTTGCCAAACACATTTTTTTTTTCCAAAGATTTAGAGGTTCCTAAGGCCTTCTCCGGGCCCATTCTCTGCATTTTGCAGCGTGCACTCTTCACGCATTGCACCAGACAGCTCCGATCGCGGGCTATCGCCTCCGCCACCAGCAGTCTTTAGATGCACATTTAGAAGCTCCTCAGCTATGGAGCCGGACTTGACATTTTTGTAGTCAGTCTTCCGACCGGCTTGCAACATGATTCATTGTTTTGGGATGTTTTGGGGATTTTGGGCTTGTTTGATAGCTGAGTTTGGTTTGGCTTGAACCACGAACAGAACATACCCAGCAGGATCCTACTGTAAAGAGTATCACTGGCAGTCGGAGCCCTGTGCAGCTGTGGGATATCGGTATTGGAATCTAGATATTTGCACACAGGACTCGACGGCCGTTTTGTTCTTTATTTTTTGCCAGAGGGGTAGATGAGAACAACACTCACACCAACCTCCCCCTTTAGTTCGTTTGCTGGTGCTGGATGGCATGCCAGCCCTGAGTGTGTCCACGTTCAGAAGCAGATTCCTCGAGCTTGTTGTGCGCAGAGAGGAAAAGACGAACATTCAACGTTTTTTTCAGCATGTCAGCAGAAACTGCTGGGATATGTCCTGCTAGCAGATCAGACACTGCGAAGGGGCAATAGGTTCATAGGTTCTTTCTGTGTAAGAGCTACAGCAGACGGGAAGAGCTCAGGAACAGGTTCTGAGGCTATCCGTCGAGGAGACAGAGCTTTTCAATTTCAAGCCTCCAACATAACGTAGCAAATTGTAGCAAGGATGCTCCCAGTTGTGAGTGTCCTCTTCACTCTCAGTCTTGTTCAAGGCGCGCAGGGAAACGAAGAGAGATGCCTTGGACTGCTTTTGATGCTTTGATTGGCTGTTTTCATGCTATGGTCCTTTTTGCTGAAAGTAGAGGTAAGAAACTGTCGAGCGCACTGAAAGAACCTGTTGCATGGGCCCTTCATTTCTTGTTTGAAGGCGCCAAAGTCCACACAGTTGAGCAGTTGGACGTGGATCTCTCGCTGGTGCCGATTGGTGCGACTGTTGCCTTCCACAATCCCTACTGGAAGCGCTACATCAAGTTGGCGAGTGCCACCGTCGCGGGTGCCAGCAGCACCAACACGAACGCTAGCCCCCTACCATCAGGGTGGACTCACGAACGTTTCTTGGTGGTGGATGCTGGGAATGGACTGGTGGCACTTCACAATGCAATCCACAACGGTTTTCTGAAGGTCACTTCAAATGGGCTTTGCCAAGGTTACGGTGCTTCAGTGTCAGACCTGGGTCCGGAATGGCTCAATGAACGCTTCAAGGTGGTGGATGCCGGGCCGGGGCGGATTGCTTTGTGGAGCCCCATGTGGGGTCACTCGTCTGAGTATCATGGCAGTCTTTTTGGGAATGCGGATCATGGTGGTTTAGTCACGAAAGCTAGCATCAGCTAGCTGGAGTTGCTCTTGCTTTAGCAAGTCAAGGGCTCGCAGCCTCGAGAATCATGAATCACGTGAAAACTTCACGTGTAGGGGGGCCCCCCCCCCGCGGGTTCAACTCCCCCCTGGGACGCTTCCGGTACGTGCTATAGTGCTATGTTTAGGTGGCAGGTGAAGTAGGCCACTGTTTGAGTTTGGAAGGGGGGGCATGAAACATGAAATTTACGCGAGGGTTCAAGGCTTCAATGATGAGCAACACGGGAAGTCAGAAACCAGGCGTATCAGATACACGTGCCTTTGAGCTTCCTTCGGCATCTCAGTGCATATGGCTGACACTTCACTCGACAAAGATGCTCAAACAAACATACATAAGCCAGGTGTATCTGATACGCCTGGTTTGTGACTTCCCGTGATGCTCATGATGCTGCGTTGCTTTTCTTCAGTCCCTCATTACATATACATGACGATCCAACAGCAGATTCAACAAGCTCACATGTTCATGACATCGACATCGATAGAAGAAACCAAACAAATCATGCAAGCAGCTTTGTTTTGCCTCTGGGACACCTCTTGGGCACCTCTTATGGCATCCACACTGGTTCAACTCCTCCGTGGAGGTTTTGGGATACAGCGCAACAGATTCAACAAGCTCACAGGTTCGTGAACACATCGGATGCATCGAACAGTGTGGCAAAGTCCAGCCACGCTTCCTTAATTATCGGGGACTTCAATTCTAAGGTTGGCTGTGTCATTGCTGTTTGTGTGTCTTACATGTTCACAACCTCATGAGCATTTGCCTCACTCCGCTTGATGTCCCACCAGTCCGGATGCACCCCTGCTAGCTTTCGTCACCTACCCTCGGCCTCAAGTTTTTCCCCAGATAGCGAAGCTATGGGGTTCTTATTTCAAATAACAATGAGTTGCCCGTGCGCGCTTTCGAGACAAGTTGCTGGCGCTGGGTGCCGGTGCTGGTGCTGTGAGCTGGCTGTGCACGTGGTGGAGACAGGTTGCTGGTGCTGGTGCTGGGTGCCGGGTGCCGGGGCTGGTGCTGTCAGCTGGCTGTGCACGTGGTGGAGACAGGTTGCTGTCGCTGTTGCCGGGTGCTGGTGCTGGGTGCCGGGTGCCGGTGCCGGTGCTGGTGCTGTGAGCTGGCTGTGCACTGGTGGAGACAGGTTGCTGGTGCTGGTGGTATAGATTGCATATGTGAGGGGGTCTATTTTCGGATCTTTTTCCAGATAGCGACAATGAGCTGCCTGTGCGCGCTTTTGAGACAGGTTGCCGGTGCTGGTGCTGGTGCTGTGAGCTGGTTGTGCATGTGGTGGAGACAGGGTGCCTGGGTGCCGGGTGCCGGTGCTGGTGCTGGATACAGGGCATTTGTTTCCCAAGCTGGGTGCTTGTGGTCGGGTTCCCGGTTGGCTTGTCTCCCACTTCCTTTCATTTGTTTCCCACTTCTTTAATTTGTCTCCCACTTCTTTTCATTTGTGTTCCACGCTGGGTCCCACCACAAGCAGCCTGGTATGAAAGGAAGTGGGAGACAAGCCGCCCAGCCTGGCTGCGTGCTTGTAGTGGCTTGTCTCCCACTTCCTTTCATTTGTTTCCCACTTCTTTTCATTTGTCTCCCAGTTCTTTTCATTGTCTCCCAGGCTGGGTGCTTGTGGTCGGGCCTGGCTTGTCTCCCACTTCCTTTCATTTGTCTCCCACTTCTTTTCATGTGTCTTCCACTTCTTGCTGGGTGCTTGTGGTCGGGTTCCCGGCCCGCTTGTCTCCCACTTCCTTTCATTTGTCTCCCAGGCTCGGTGCTATTTCTCCCCCAGGTCTGTCACTGCTGGTGTCCGCCCTTTTCCGCTGGCCATGCAGCATTTCTATTCATGTGTCTCCCAGGTCTGTCACTGGTGGTGTCCGCCCTTTTCCGTTGGCCATGAAGCACTTCTGTTCATTTGTTTCCCAAGTCCGTTACTGCTGGTGTCCGCCCTTTTCCGTTGGCCACGCAACAGTTCTATTCATTTGTTTCCGTCCGCCCTTTTCCATTCATTTGTCTTTCAGGTCTGTCACTGCTGGTGTCCGCCCTTCTGGTGTCCGCCCTTCTGGTGTCCGCTCTGTCAGTCCGCCCTTTTCCGCAGGCCATGTAGCATTTCTATTCATTTGTCTCCCAGGTCTGCCACTGCTGGTGTCCGCCATGTAGCATTTCCATTCATTAGTCTCCCAGGTCTGTCACGGTTGGTGTCCAACCTTTTCCGCTGGCGATGCAACATTTCTATTCATTGGTTTTCCAGGTTTGTCGCTGCTGGCGTCCGCCCTTTTCCGCTGGCCACGCAGCATTTCTATTCATTTGTTTCCCGGGTCTGTCACTGGTGCTGCCGCCCTCTTCCGCTGGCCATGTAGCATTTCAATTCATTTGTCTCCCATGTGATTTCTTTCTTTTTGTCTTTTAGGTTTGGTGCCTGCGCTGCTGTTTTCTGCCCGCTGGATCAGGTTCACTTGTGAAAGGTTCTTGCTCCTTTGAAAGGGGTGCGTGACTGTCTCCGGGTTGCATTCCTGCCGCATTGTGTAACTCGCTTGGTTTTCCTTTTCGGGCAAGCGGTGGATGAATGACCGGATTGGATTTCGGCGGCGTGGCAGCGGAGGGCATACGTCAGGCGCCAAAAATGTATTTCATGTCACATCCTTCGCTCCGCATGCTTTTATTTCTGGTCCTCACGTGGTCAGATTGAGCAGCGTGACCAGCATCATGTTCGCACTTGAAGAATAATTCCCCAAAAGTTTTACTGTTAGGGCTTCTCAATTCTTAAGAGGACATGAAACTTTTGCTTTGGGTTCAACTTGCAAATGACCCGCTCGTGGCCGCCTCTGCCTTGCAATCCTTTGTTTCCCAGCCTGGACGTCGCAAGCTCTAGTTCCGATTTTGAAAAACACAAACTGTTTGGGGTCTACGGTGGTGCAATTCCCCAGATAGCGACAGCTATGGGGTTCTTATTAATTAATTTGACAATGAGCTGGCTGCGCGCGCTTTCGAGCGCCGGTGCCGGGTGCTGGTGCTGGCTGTGGTGCTGGTGCTGGGTGCTGTGAGCTGGCTGTGCGCGGTTGTGGTGCTGGTGCTGCGTGCTTTGAGCATGGTGCCGGTGCTGGGTGCTGGCAGTGCATGTGGTAGAGACAGCGGGCGCTGGGCGCTGGCTCTGGGCGCCGTGAGCTGGCGTGCCGGTGCTCGGTGCTGGCGCCCGCTTCTGACAGTGAAGTGATAACAGCCGCCGCTTCTGACAGTGAAGGGTAACAAACCGCCCCTTGCAGCAGTGAAGGGCGACCAAGCGCCGCTTCTGACAATGAAGCGCCAGCAGTCATGGGCCGCGTGAACTTATGCGCGCAACATCATACGGTGTTGTCGCTTGAGCGTTCTTTGTCTATTAGCGCTGTGGGGTATTTACACTCTTCAGGTTCTGTTTTGGCCGACAGCTGTGTCAAGGGCTGTACTGTTTGCGCGCATACTTTTGTCCGTATAATGTTCTATGCGCAAAGTCAGGCTCTCAAACGACCATTGTTTCAGCATGTTTCAGCATGCTACACACACAATAGTCGTGCTGGATACTGCTTGGCCTTGGGCAAGTGAAGCCTACGGGCTTTGCCGTTTGTGCGCATACTTTTGCGCGCATAAACTTATACGCGCGAGATCATACGGCCTTGTCGTTCTGCAGATCGTTGCTTCAAGCGTGCTACAAAGTCAATAGTGGCGCTGGATAGTGCTTGGCCTTGGGCCAATGGCACTTACGGGCTTTGCTGTTTGCGCGCATACTTTTGTGCGTTTAAACTTATACGCGCAAGATCATACGTTGTTATTCCTCAAGTAGGGACAGCTATGGAGTTCTTGCTGCAAATAAGAATGAGCTGGCTGCGCGCGCTTTCGAAAGGGTGTCGGTGCTGGTGCTGGTGTTGTGGTCCTGGGTGCTGGTGCTGTGAGCTGGCTGAGCGCGCGTTTAAGACGGGCGGCGGCGCTGGTCGGGCGCTGGCGCCGCTGCCGGTGTTGTCAGCTGGCAAAGCGCACCGGTGCTGGTGTCAGCTGATTGTGCGCGCTGTGGAGGTGCCGTAAGCTGGCTGTGCAGGCTGCGTATATTCTTGTTCCAGTCGCATGTCAACAGGTCGTGGGATTCTGCCTAGCTATCTGGGTCTATGCTGGTGTAATTTTCTCTGATTAAGCCCTCAAAACATTAGACGGCTTATGTTGTTTGCATATATGTAAAGGAAAGTACGTGAAGATGCACGACACGCAGATGAAGGCAGATGCAACCGCGATCGGGGAATGGGAGGAATTCACTCCAGTAATTGTGAACGCAGGCAATCCATTGCAGCCTCTTATTGGCCACACGATAGCCCTGCGCAATGCTCACCACAATCGCTTCATCAAAATGAATTCTGGTGGTGTGACAAGGAGTGATGCAAAAGACAAAGACCAGTTGCCAGCCGCTTGGGATGAAGAGCGCTTCACAGTGGTTGATGCTGGGAACAATCGAATTGCTCTTTACAATCGCAAGCACAACCGTTTTGTGAAGATTCCCAATGGAGGTCCTGTTGCTTCCAGCCCCACGATCGATGCAAATTCGCCACCCGTCTTCCCAAGCGGTTGGGGAGCAGAAGCATTGTCTGCGGAAGATGTGGGAGGTGGACAGATTGCCTTGAAAGGCACTTACTTCGGTCGCTACATGCGCATGCATTACACCGGAGTGGATTCAGAGGCAACGACACCAGCAACTTGGGAACGCTATACAGTTGTGAGGACCCAACATCCACTGATCTCAGTGTTGCTCGGACGCTCCGTTGCTCTTCACAATGCGCACCACAACCGCTTGCTGAAGATGACTGGATCGACGATCGACCGCAGTCCCACGGTGAATGTGAACTCAATCCCGAGCTACTACGCATCCGAGAGATTTTCTCTGGTGGACGCTGGTGACGGCAAGATTGGTCTCCATACCCCTTACTACAACAAATTCATGGCGGTGCAGAGCAACATGGCCATGTCCTGCAGTGCAGAGAAAGATGCAAATCTGCCGTTACGTGATGAGTCCTTGTCGTTTACCGCGGTGGATTGTGGTCAGGGTGCCATTTGTCTTCGGGTGGATTTCCTGAACCGCTTCGTGAGCATGCGGAACAGTGACGTGTATGCGACTGGCCAAAGCACTGCAGCCTGGGAGCGCTTCACAGTCGTAGAGCTTCTTGTCTTCAAGTTCACGGCCAGCAAATTCTTAGTGCTGGTTTTGATGTGTGCCCATTTTTTGGTAAGACTCTGAATCGATTCCAACATTCAGCAATGCTTGTCAGGTTCGACACTGCAATGGCATTTTTGGTGGGCAAGACCGTTGGTCTGCACAGCCCAAGTGTGAACCGCTTTTTGATGTTCAGCTTCAATGACGTGGTTGCCAGTGAGCCGACCAATATCAACAACTTCCCTTACGAGTGGTCCTCAGGGCGCTTCAAAGTGCAGTTTGCCGGCAATGGCAGAGTCACCCTCTACAATGAAGGCGAAGGTGCGTACGTGGTTGTCCATAGCAATGGACATGTGAATATTGCGCGAAGGACCTATCAGCAGCCGCCGCCCAATGAGGCAGACATGCAGTTTCAGGTTGTTGATGTTCAGGGTGGCGGGGTTGCCCTGAAGAGTGTCCCACACAATCGCCACGTGAGGATGAGTGTGGTTCAGACGACGCCTGCCACGGGATGCATTGAGTTTGGCCACAAGGTTGTGATTGCGCAAACATTTGATCACCACAACCAGTGTGGTTGGTATGGGTGCAGGGTGGCGTTCATGGGATCTGACAATCACATGTACTTCGGCCATGGAGGCATGGACCCTACGAGCTTTTATATCCGACCGGTTCCTGGGAGCAACCAGCAGGGCTGTGTTTCTTACGGAGACACTGTGGCCATTGCATATTCTGCAGAGTCTGGAGCCAATGGATGTGGATGGTACGGCTGCAGAGTCGGTGCGATGGTCAACAACGTGTTTGTCTTTGGCCATGGAGTTGCTGCCAATTATTTCTACATCCGACCTCCACCCAATGGGCAGACCGGCAGCGTGTCCTACGGCGACCGTGTGGTCATCGCTTTCACTTCCAACGCTGGAGACACCAGCAACTGCGGTTGGTATGGCTGTAGGGTTGCGGCGATGTGGGGCAACAACCAGATGGGATTTGGCCATGGAAATGGTCTCACACAATTCCAATTGAACCCATTCCCACCCACTGTCGTGGTGGACGCTTCAACATCCCTGGGCCCTACTGAGATCTTTGAATTGCTGACTGTAAAGCTCATGGACGAGAATGTGAATGAAGATGCGTGGGAGGTGTTTGTAGGCATGGATTGTGAGGGAGAGCCTTACTCCAGAGATCGGTGCGATCTCAGCAACTGCGATGGCTGGGGCGGGGCCAATGCCGAGACCTGCAAGCAGAAATGCGACAACAACGAGGTCCCTCCAGGGTGCCCGCAGAACATGCAGTGTCATGCGTTTTGGCTGAATGTTTTGGTTCAAGGACGCTACTAGTAACAAAGGCATCGCCACTAGGAGCAAGGACGCTACTAGGGGCTCCTGGCCTTACTGCTAGGAGCAAGGGCGCTACTAGGAGCAAGAATGTTTTGGTTCAAGGCAGAAACTTTTGATTTTCACAGACAGTAACTCCTTTCAGAATTTCGCTGCCCACCATTGGAAGAGTCCCGTGTTGCTTCAAGCAGCCGAGGCATTTACCTGGGGTGCCAACAACTGGTGTCAGCTCTACTCCGGATGTGAGACTCTTCACAACAACCAGGGAATCGTGGCTTACAGGCGAGCAAATCCCACCCTACCTGCTCTTCTCCAAGTGCAGGATGATGTTAGTGTGGAGAGCTTTGGGCCTGACGCAGAGTTGGCCTCGAGTTTCCCTTTTGTGATGATGAACTTGTCGAATTTCTCCGGTCTCATCACAAACGAGTCGCATCCAGGTATTCAGCACCGCTTCGGGAATGTCACCAAGGACCTCAACCTGCTTTATGAAAAGGTGGAAGGCTTCTACGCAATCTTGCATGAACTTGGGCTGCAGGGTACAGTATATACAAAAACCTGTTCTTTTTGCGTTTGATGTTTGGTTTATCAGGGTTTACCGTTCGCACGGTTGTGTTTCGCTTGCTCCAAGTGGTTCCGTCCCAGGAGCGCATGGGTGCAGATGGTCCTGTGTACTGCCCTCTTCAATCCTACATGCATTTGCCAACATGCATCACTATCGCAACCTGCCTGCTTCAGTCCTCGGTGCCACAGCACATTTCCATGGCTTTCTATTCCAGTATCATGGAACAGGCGGCCAGGTTCGAGGATGTCACGTGGCAGGTCATTGAATCGGCGCTGTCCTTTGAAAGCCATGGACAACAGACACTCATCCGCGATGCGGTGCCCAGCAAGTACCGCTGTGACGCCTTCGAAGAGGCGTCCAAGGTGGTGGAAGGTCCTACCTATCCGGAGCCATCCAACCACACGGGGCATGCGCTTGTAGAGGTTAGTCATGGTGCCTCTAAGGCCTCAGCAACTTTGGCCTTCTCTGCAGCTTTGCACGGTGCCACTCGTTCAATGCACCGCATCTTGGATTCGCATCATCTTAACAGCTCCCTGGACGCGACTCTGGGGAACTTGGAGGATCTTTGGCGTCCGATTTGTGAGCAACTCGGGTGTGATCCCAGCAACTATTGGGAGATTTTCTTGTCGACCCACCAGCAGACCATGGCCCTCTTGCAGACCTCCGCCGCTGCCACGATGCGGAAGGAGATCCTACAGCGAGCCCAGTTGGAGCGCAGAGTTCAACGTTTCGTGGGCGAGCACGGAGAAGCCTTGCGCGGAAGGTCGCTGGTGAAAGGGGGGCATACGTGGACTACTACCCAATGGCCACCCTATGTAACCCCCCATTCTTCGACAAGGGTTCGTTGCAAAGACCTTGCAAAGGTCTTCCTTTCTATGAATTATCTTTCTTTTCTGATGAATGTACTCGTTGTGGCTGTCAATGCCAGGGTTTTAAATAGAGCCCTACTTTCAACAATGCTGGCCACGCTTGATATTATGCTCTGTGTGGCAGGCTCTGGCGACCCTACGAGGAAGGTCCTGCTGTGGAGAGCGGCAAGGCATATGCTGAAAAGGGGAGAGCAGCTGTACTTCAGTTTCTCGAACTTGTTTTTTACGTTTCTATTTTTCCCTACATCGGGGTGTGGGGTTCATGTTTTTACATGTTTTTACTGTGTGTATGCCGCCGCGTCCTTGTCCTCGTCCTCGTCCTCCGCTCACTCCACCGCGCCAAACTCTGAACGGTGCACTTCGTGCGGCAGTCGCAGTCGCGCTGTGCGTTTGACGTGTTGTGGACTGGCGGACCGGCGCCCATCTGGAAAAACCAAAGCTTGAAAGCAGCGGTTTTCAAAGAACGCATTGCAAATCACGATAGCTTATAGCCAATAGCATTTGTTTTCTTGCATGGACCTTCTTTCCTTCGAGACCATTCAACTTGCCGTCCTGGTATGCGTGTCCAAATATCATGAGGAACAATGACTCCGTATTTGGAGATCTGCAATCTACAACCTGTGTCAGCATTATCGCATCATCAACACATCGCATTATGCACTTACAAATCACCACTCACCATACACACATCCAAGGCTCTTTCCAGCAAACCTCCTAAATGCCACACTGTTTCAAGTCTTCCATTTTTCTATTTCTTCTGAAAACGTACTCTACTGTTCGAGAAGTTTAACAGGTGGCGTTCTCCGGCCCCCTGGCCCCGTCGCAACGCAGTAATGCGAGGCTGGCAGGATGCACGCTGGAGATCCCAAACTGTTGGTGACATGTTGTTTGCTCTGAATGGTGGTTGTGAGCTGAACTGAAGCAGCCTACGTGCGGCGTTCGGCTCCTTTTGTATTGCTTCGTTTTGTTTCTATTCTTTCTCGGACGCTAGCTTGAAGCTCCCGTTTGGCCACTCAGGTTGGTCCCGGCCGTCGTGAAGACCCTTGCGAAGGTGGATGCCCGACGAGCCATGCGCTTCTTGGACCAGGTGGAGTTGAAGAAGTACGTTCAGCGGAAGGCTGAAAGTCAAGGCAAGATCTTGGACTCCAAAGAGCTCTTGGAGGCCGAAGTGGCTTTGACTCTGAAGACTTCCAACACCTGGTTCATTGACAATTGGCCAGGGGGTTTGAAGTGCTTCGGCAAGTTCTCGCTGTTCTACACTCAGGGCTACTACAAATCGATTGTAAGTTCAGGTGCCTTTGGGGCTACCTTTGCTTTTGGCCTTTCAGCTGGTGTGGCCTCCTCCTTGGAACAGCTTGTCTATGGCCTTGAGCCCGCTGGTTGGTTTTCATTCTTCATGAGCTTCAGTGCTGGACTGGCTGCGGGCCCACCCACAGGCCCTTGGTTCTGGTCAGGCATGTGCGCCAGCGGCACCCTTCAGTGTGGCTGCGGCCCTTGTGAGTTCAGTCTCACCGTAGGAGCTGTTGCTATCGTTGCTACAGAGTGGACCAATGGACTAGTCTGCCCCATTCGCTTCCCACCTGCAACAGGCATCAAGTGCTCTCAAGGCGCCGGAGTGTTCTTCACCACGTTTTGCTGCAAGGTGAACATGGTGACCGGTGCACACGATTGTCGATAATGTAATGTCGACAACGCAGCTTTTTGGTCCTGTGTGCGCCAAGTAGGGCTGCAGAGAGAAGGTTTTCAATACATATCCTTCTTCCAATGGAATGTTCAGTCAGAAGGCTGCATTTCAATGTCGCAGGGCCATGCGGCTAAAAAACAGCGCATGAATGAGAGCCATGTGTAATGAGCAGAAAGTGAGTTTTGAACATGTTTGCTTCCAGAGTTGAAAGATTCTCTTCCTTCCAGCGTGCCAAGCTTCTTTCCTTTTACTTTTTCGGAATGTAGGACGCACTTTGAGGTGCGGAGTTGTGTGACGGCTGAAGCAGACCCGAAAGAGAGAGCACGAGTTTGGGTTCCGATCTGATGAAGAGTTTCTGACGCTTCCTTCCAATGTGGAGCCATTTTGTCGAACAATAGCGCCTACCTTCCAAATAGTTGCCGGAGGATTTTTTTACCTACACGGTGTCCAAGGAAAGCCGATGCGTCGGGCCGTGTGCTGCATGGAGCGGAGAGCTGCGCGCGGAAGCGCGGGCATTTGCTGGCGATGGTGGGGTCAAGGTCGCCTGGACAACCCTCAGATCTTTGTTCCCATTAGGCACACAGTGACTTTCAAGCATTCTGTTGCATGATGATTTTTTGAAAGGTTGAGCCGAACTCTGAGGTGCTTCAAATGAACAGTGTCCTTGGGACTTCGAAGGATTTCAATTGTTCATAGACAGGGATCTATTTTCCACGGACTGACCACGTTGCTCAAGTACTGACCACGTTGCCAGGTGACGGATTGCTAACACCGGCCGAGCTGAAGGAAGGATTGCAGAAGGTGCGCTCCCGATGTGAGCTATTGATCATGGTTCTAAGATGTTCTAAGTAGATGACCACAACAATCAGTATTCTTGCGTACAAGATCTACATTTGGTTCGAGTGATATCCAGCAGGCTTTCAGAGTATGTTTTTTGTTTTCCAATTTTGTCGAAAACTCTTGGACCCAAAGCTCTCCCGACTTAGACCATTTGGAAGGAACATGAACGAAATAGACCAGGCCGGAGGAGTCTTTGATCCACGCCCGGGTGATCGGGCCGGCGGTCCTTTTCTTCAGGACAGGGATTTGCCATCGCTCATAGGTTGGAGGCCATCGGCCATCGCTAGTAGGGTGGCCATCGCCTTGACTTTTGATGGCAAAACTTTGGTTGGGTGATTTGTGGGTGGCTTTCGTTTCCAAAAAGCAGAACCAATGCAGCATTGCGCTCGCGCATTTTCCATGCCTTCCATTTATCATCAATTGGGACAAGGCATCAAGGGCAGCTGCAATGCTTCCAAAGCCTTAGTTTTCTTATTTCACGCGACCTGAACCTTTCAGTATTGAACGTACTCGAGTGAACGCGTGCATTCATAGGACAAACCAGTGTATTCAAGCCAGCAGCACGATGCTACCAAGCTCGACGTGGTTTTGTCCCAATGATCTTGGTCTCAACGCCCGACGCTTGTCATGGATCAGTGTGGCAGCACAAATCAGTGCAATCTCTCTGGCTCTGACCCGTAGGTGTGTCGTTGGTTGTTCTGAAGCGGCGCTCCGCCGAGCAAGAACAAATCAACTTAAATCGAGTTGTGACCTCCTTGGATTTGTTCGGAAGCGGCGCTCCGCCCAGTAAGAACAAATCTTCTTTATCGTTGTGGAATTTTCAAGCTGTGCTCGCACTTTGCAAACATGAGCTTTTGGTGTCGCCCGCGTTCCCAACGGGCCAGCCTTCCAGTGGCGGTGTGAAGAGTAGGGAGCTTTGTCTCTCTGAGTAAGTTGAGGGTTCAACATACTTTGATGCATCGTAATCATATTCAGAATCCATCATAATCCCATATAGTACCGGCGCAAGTGCCTTTAAAACGGGTCCAGCCACATGCAGGTCCAACCGCAGATGGAGGTGTTATCGTGGGTCTTTCTGTTCGGTTGCCAGTGCTGTGCACAGTGGGTGTAGGGTCCGCCGTTCGGAGAGCGCATAGTCAGTGGCTCATGGGTCCAAAGTGTTGGGCGCCTGTTCTGTTCGTGGATATGTTTGGATGCGCCGCGTGAGCAGCGTTTTGTTACTGGATGTTATTGGCGTGTAAAGGTTTGTATGAAAGTGGAACTGCATTCTAGCCCCCGAAGGCAACTCTCGCTGTTTTGTGCATGCGCGAAGGCATGCTAAGCCGAATCGCGTAGGCCCACAAGTATTCATCGCGAAGGCAACTTGCGTACGCAAAGAATCCTTTGAAATGGATTCTTGTGTGAAGTTGGTTTTTGTTGCAGTGATGAGTACTGTATCCGTTTCAGTTGTGGAGACATTGTCCATCTCTTCTGGAATCCTTGGAGGGAAGTGTGGACACCCAAAGAGGTGCGCGAAAGCATATCGGGTATCGCGAAGGCATCGCAAAATAGGCCCCGTAGTTACCAAAAGAACGCTGCTCATGCGGTTCGTACCTCATAGCAACGCCCTTTGCAACCACTTGCGGGTCTTTTGTGTATGCTGCGTCGAGCACCAGGACGATGTCGGAGCCCATCCACCAGCTACGCGTTGCATATATCAGACCACTTGCTGAGTAAGCAGGCAGGGTTGGAGCCCTGGAACTTGAGGTGTGGGAGACTCATCCCTGTCCACAGTTCTTTATCCTTTTGGTGCTCTTGGTTGTTGCAGTGGACCGGTATCACCGAATGTTGATATTACCAGGAACTTGATAAAGACACAGCTGACACGACGACGGCAGTCTTCCAGCGTGCTTCAATATCACGAACAAGTCTTGCCAAATGTCAAGAAATACTCTTGCTAATACTACTACGCAAAAGGTTTTGCGCTGACTGTTTGTTGATGTTTCATTAAGGCAGAGAGGGTGAGGTTGAGTTAGTAGAGGTCTTCACAACGGAAGGCTCCCAGAAACGGACCCCTTCACATTCTCAAACCAAAAGTAGATCTGACCTGCATTTCTATTTGCTCGGATCACTTTGTGTGTCGGCCAATGAACTACACACATCTTGACGTATTTCCTGGAAACAAGTTTCAATTTTCCATGAATTGGGGTCGTTTTTTTTGCAGTAAAGAAGAAGCTACTAGCAGCTCCTGGCATTATACTACTAGGAACAACAAGCTAATAGTTACTAGTAACAAGGGCATTACTACTAGTAGTGAGAAGCTGCTAGGTTGCAGGCCATCGCGTTAGTTTGGAGGCCATTACTACTAGCAGCAAGAAGAGACAAACACGCAGTTTTGCATTGCTGCGATTCGCCGCTCACAGGCCACACCATTTAATCAACTCCGCTCGGGGAGGACCTCCCCTTCTCGCTGTTTTGGAATTCCTTAGACTATTTTTGCTGGGCCAATGGACGCACATGGTCGTCCAATAAGAATGATCCTATCGCAGAGTCATTTTCTTTTGCCCAGTGGCGGGAAAGTTCCAAAGAGGGTGTCAGAATAAGAAACTGTTGTATTGAAGTAGCAAAGATGGGCCCTAATGAAAGAGGAGCCTGCGAATGACTCCGAAAGATTGGCTTGGTCAAAGAACTGCTGGTGGGAAAGCAAAGCCGACCACCTGCCGCGGTGAGAATAAGATGCAAGTGGGTCAGAATATAAAATAAGACATTGGTGGAGGGAAAGGAACGAGGGACCAATTATATACGAACCCAGAGCAAAGTTTTCAAGCAAGCAGTCGGTTGAGAGAAAGGTGGGTCATAATAAGAAGTTCGTGGAGGGGAAGTGAAAAAGAGAGGTGGTGAAAGACTAGAGAAACGTTTCAGTCATGATTAGAAGCTTGTGAAGGAGGAAAGGGCCAGAAAGACCGAGGGCGAGAAAGAGGGGCTCCGGAGAACAAGGTGGTAGCAAGAGGTTGACGGAAGGAAAGTAAGAAAGAAGGACCCTTGAAGATTCTTAGAGAAAGGGTGGGACACAATCGAAGTTTGTTGAGGGAAAGTAAGCAAACGGGGGCGCGAAAGATTCTGGAGAAAAGAGTTGGGATGGGAAGCAAGAAAGGGGGGGCGGTCGTGAAACACTAGAGAAAAGGGTTGGTCGCAGCAAGACGTTGGCAGAAGAAACATGAAGAAACATAAGAAAGAGGGTTGCGTGAAAGGTTCTATAGAAGATTTGGGCCATAATAAGCAGTTTGTGGAGCGAAAGTAAAAGAACAAGGTCCTGCGCGAGACTCTGGAGAAATGGGTGGGTCATAAGAGGTTGGGGGAGGGAACGTAAGCGTCAGGTGCCGTGAAAGACTCTAGAGAAAGGGGTTGGCGGCAATAAGACGTTGGCGGAAGGAATGAAAGAAAGAACGAAAGAGGGAAAGAGCGAAAGAACGAAAGAAAGGCAAGGCAGAAAGACAGACAGACGGACGGACGGACGGACAGACAGACAGACGGGCAGAAAGAAAGAAAGAACGAACGAACAAACGAAAGAAAGAAAGAAAGAAAGCGGCGGCGGCCGTGAAACACTCTACGGAACAGGGTTTGTGGCAATAAGACGTCGGCAGAAGGAAAGTCAGAAAGCGTGAAAGATCCTACAAGGTTTGGGCCATAACAAGAAGTTTGTGGCAGAAAAGTTAAACAGAAGGCCCTGCCAAAGACCCTGGAGAAATGATTGAGTCATAATATGAGGTTGGTGGAGGGAAAGTACACATCAGCCGTGAAAGACTCTGGAGAAACGGGTTGGTCGCAGTAAGACGTTGGCAGAAGGACAGACAGAAAGAGGGTGGCGCGAAAGATCCCGTAGACAATGCGAACGATCCCATAGACTCTGTACCAAGAACATTGGTGGGTCATAATGAGTGTGAACGTGAACGATTCTAGAGAAAAGGATGGGTGGCAACAAGACGGTGGAAGGAAAAAAGGGAGTTGGCGGCCGTGGCACACTCTGGGGCTGTTGGTGTAGAGAAAGGAGTTAGTCCTCAAAGAGTTGACACTAAAGCATATTCCTGGAACTCATTCCCCCCGGAGGGCCGGGCGTGGCCCTCCAAGATAGCCAGGTGGAAGCCCTTCAAAGGGGGGCAACCTCAACACGGCCAGCGCAGCGGTGCGTCGAGCCTTTGCAGCTGCCAGCGGCGAGCGCGGCGCGCCGACGGTGCAGAGCTTGCAGAAGGCAAAGGCGCTGGCCAGGTGAGGAACAACGCGATGGGCAGCGACGATGGAAACCACGTCCACACCAACTTCCTCTTTTGGCGCTCGATAGCGAAATGGTCCACATTCGCAGAATTCCTCAAACTCATTATGACAGAGAGGAAAAGTTGGCCAGCGTTGGCTTGCTTCCGCCTTTGATGTTCAGCGCTAGTGAGTGATGTCATTGCGAGCCAAACAACCAACATCAACATCGCCGATATACCATTTTTCCCCAAACAGGTTTACCTGTGAGGGGTTCTTACTCCTTTTAAAGGGGTGCATGCTCGGGACGGATGATTTTGAGTTTGTCTCCGGGCTTGTGTTCCTGGCCGCATGATTTCACCCTTGTCTCCCACTTGTCTCCCAGTAAGCTCTGGATGCTCTCAGTGCTCTGGCGGCATGATTTTATACCTGTCTCCCACTTGTCTCCCAGTAAGCTCTCAGTGCTTTGGCCGCATGATTTTATATTTGTCTCCCACTTGTCTCCCAGTTGTCTCCCAGTAAGCTCTCGATGCTCTCAGTGCTCTGGCCGCATGATTTCACACTTGTCTCCCACTTGTCTCCCAGTAAGCTCTGGATGCTCTGAGTGCTCTGGCCGCATGATTTTGTACTTGTGTCCCATTTGTCTCCCACTTGTCTCCCAGTAAGCTCTGGATGCTCTGAGCGCTCTGATGCTCTGAGTGCTCTGGCCGCATGATTTCACACTTGTCTCCCACATGTCTCGGCTTGGCTCCCAGTAAGCTCACTTGTCTTCCACTTGTTTGCCATGGCCTGTCTGGATGCTTGGTATCCCCGGGCTTGGCTGGATGCTGGGCCGATAAATTTTTTGATGCGCACAAGGTCGTTGCTCTGTTGTATTTGCTCCGAAGATGAAGCCACCTAAGCCCTTCATAGTCTTGAAGGATTTTCCTTATTTCGCAGAGATCCTCGCAGATCCTCGTTTCGTTTTGAGTCACCACAAGCTTCTTTCGAGTTGCTTTGCATCGAAATACACTATTTTCACATATTTTCACCACAAGCGTTGCATTGCTCGATTTGCTGTTTAGGTTGGCAGCTACTTTCGTGCGGATGATCAACGAAGCAATCACACACTCTTACGTCAAGTGTTGCGACCTATGGCAAACACAGGTCAATGCAGTACATGGCTAAGCCAAAGAAGGCAACTGCGTAGGAAGGAAAAAACCAAGCGCAGTGTCCGTGCTCTGAGGAAATCTTCACTTTGATTGGGTCTGCGCATTCGTGTTTACAAGGGGGGCAACATATGTCACAACCTGGATCCATAAATTTCATGTTTTAGCCCTTGTACGGCGTCCCATTGTAAAGTCAATGAAAAACAAAATTTTAATGTTTTCCCTTTGAATCTTGTATGTGCGTCTACATGGTGGACTATAGTTTTCTTCCTCTAGGAAATACTGCTGGCCATATTGTTCGGAGATCTCATTTTTGAACATTGCTCTGTTTGGGGTCTACGCTGGTATAATCCAATCTTGCGACTTGAGTTCCATATACCCTGTACTTTTTCATTGTGCCAGCAGATATGGTGCAAGAACCCTGTACTTTTTCCAATCTTGACTTGGAACCATGGGACCATGAAGGCAGTTCTAGGGTAGCGGAGGAACATTGCAAAACGTGCCTCAAGATTTGGGGCCCAAGGTCATGATACCATGAGCTGAGTGAACCCATGAGCTGACCAAACCAGTGCCGAGCGCGTGGCCATGAATCGCGGAAAATCAAGGACTGAATTGGGGACCGAACGCAGAGTCTAGACAGAGTTCTAGGCCACTTGGGGCGAAGCTGAAGATTGAGAGATCTCTGACTGGGCAAAGTTATCCCACCAGCCCCAAAAACGTTGAATCCAGCGGGAGCGATGGCCGAACATCGAGCCGGCTGACGCTTCATGCGGCGGCCGACGCTTGATGGCGGCTTGCCCGAAGTAGAGTGCCCTTTGTTACTGGTAGCGATGCCCTTCTTGGCCTTCCTTTGACTTGTCCAAAACATTCACCATGGTCTGCGCGTGCGTTGAATACTATTCAAGATTATGCTTTGAAACTACCTAAACTTGAATGTGATCCCCGCACGAAGTTGGGTGACATCTCAAACTTTGTTTCAGCGTCTGCATAGGATTTCCTTCAATCCGTGGCAGGCAGCCTTTGGACCGTATTGGCTGTCGGGCAAGCAGCGGCTCCTGCGCCAAGGCGACGGGAAGGGCTTGTGACCTGGACAGACGCAAGGCTAGACACTGGTGAAACCATGTGAAACCATCGGTCCGGAGCCTTGAGCTGTTGGCACCGCTGTACCACTGGATCTAGAAATCCACGAGTTTCTGACGGCTCCAACACCGTAGATTCGCGATTCCGATTGTTGAAGTGTTACGCTGTGCACTCAAGAATCAGCTGCAAGCGAAACTTAGTCACCGCTGGGCCATAGAGGTTCAAAGATGTTCAAAGTAAATCAAAGTAAGGCTGTATTCATGAGATTCAAATCACGAGGGATTTAAGACCTCATTCTGCCACTGGACACATCCTCTGCCGGCTTTCCATTGCGGTGAGGAAGACACTGCAAGATGACCCTGCCACTTGGCTACTTAAAGCCCGATGATGCTGGATGGATGTTTTCGTGGAAGGGGGCATGGCTCGCAGACACACGCGCTGTTTGTCTCAGCTTCGCTCGGCTTCGCACGAGGTTCCCCTCAAAGCTTTCGATCTTTTTCCATGGTTACAAAGGAATTCCGCTTCTGTTTGAATTGTCACGTGGCGTGTGTGGGTGTTAACAAAGTCTTGTTTGAACGGAGCCACCTTTGCAGCGCGCGGAGGCTTTCCAGCGAAAGAATTACCAGGAGAACATTGAAAAGGATGCGGACACTTGGCAGATGGGGCCATTTTACTTTTTGCCAATAGTTTGAACTGAGGCAATCTCTATAGGCAGGGCCCGGTCTCAAATGGAATTTGGGAGGTGCTGTCCCTGCGCATCATGCCATTGAAATCTGTCAGGAGTGCAATCGGAGTCCTGAGTGGGGTCCATTTCGAGCGCAACTCCTGCAAACCGAAGAGGATATGCGGGTGGAGTTGGCCTACGAGAAGATGATGGCCGCTCACTCCAAATGACAACAGCTTTGCTTTTTGTGTTAGTGATTTAGCCGAGAGTCCCGGAGCTGTCCTTCTTTTGCCCTGGTTAGCTTTCAATCCGCCTTAAGGAGTGGGGCCTCGATGCATAGCTGCATTCAACCTTGGTGGGAGTCCAGACATTTCTGGGAAAAACATGCCTTTCACGTGTTCGAAACAATATCAAAACCACAAGTGATGCACAGAGGCCGGGAGAAGATATGATATGAGCAAGACGCCACCATAAGCGTCCATAAGTCACATTCAGAGCCTATTGAGGAGAATGTGACGAAAGTGGATGAGCAGTCCAAGATTTGCTTGCTGGGTCTGGTTGCTATGCAATTCTACTTTGCCCACATGTTGCTCTTCGAGGTCGGTAGCAGGGAGCTCAGCCCCTGTCCCCCACGAACCAGTGCGTATGGCATATAGCGTGTGCTGAATGAGCAGTCCAACAGATTATGTTTCCGACTCGATGCTTGAGTTTGTTTTTGATTGTTTTTGGATTGATTGAAGATCTTAGAGCTTTGAATCGCAGAGAAAAGACACGCGTAGCAAACATCTGACCGTTCGCACATCTGCCGCTAACCGCTCACCGCTTCCGCTCTGCAGATGCTCTGAGGCGTGGAAGCGGCCGCGGACGCCTTCCGCATGATGGACGAGCACTCGGGGGCGCTTCACCCGGACCTCCTGGACCAAGCCGCCGGCTATGGTGCGCCTTTTCCCTGGGGGCGGGGTGGTGACCTGACCATGAGAGCTTGAAAAAAATACGAGAAGGATGGAAGAGGTTGCTTTTCATGGTTGCTTTTCTGAAGAAAGAGATGAATTGTTTGATGTTTTCCAAACATGGACACTTGTTTTGGACGGACGCACTCAGCAACTCTGTGGACCAGACTAGGTGTTCAGCCATGCTTTTGGATGTGGTTTTGATGTCTTTTGGAACGTGCGCGCCCGGATGTTTAGGGAAGACGTGGCCCATCTCTGCAGACGCTCTGGACAGCTTGAGGTGGGCTCTGGGAGTGTTTGTGGTTTCCGGTTTTCCGTCACGATGAGAGTCTAAAAGCGTCTAAAAGCTGCAAGAGAAGAAACGCTTGAACAAGAAAAAATTGTATTAGGACGCTATTAGGTGGAGGCCATCGCAAGTAGGTTGGAGGCCATCGCTACTAGTGGCAAGAAGCTAGTAGTAGCTAGATATTAGGGTGGAGGCCATGCCTATTAGGTTCCTTTTGCTACTAGTAACAAGAAGCTAGTAGGGTCGCGCCCGGACCATGACCCTGGCTCTTCAGCAGATCTCGGGCGCAACTCGGCGCCCTCGAGGCGTGCCTTGCTGCGGGCTTCTGCCGGCGGTGGTACCGGTGGACCCGACCGGCGGCGACGCTTCAAGAACGCCTTTGGGTTACATGATGAAGACTGGAGCCAGGCCGGGATCGAACTGGGAACGAGACGTGGAGAGATGAGGGTTGAACATTGAAGAAGTTGGCTGATGTGCCGTCGAGGGATGTTGGCTGAGATGGATATTCTTTATATCGTCCTTTTTGAGCGTCCACCTAGCTGAGCATTTACTTGGTGTTTCGCGGAAAAAGGCTCGAGCTCCGTTTGCCGAGGTCTGGGGCTCGTGGCGCCCCACGGGCGCGGCCCCCGAGCGCCTGGCAGGGCCCTGGGGCGCGGCGCAGGCGGGCGCGCCGAAGCCCAGCTTCCGCGTTTTTGTGGCTTGGCGCGGGAAACATGTGAGAGGAACGGAGGAACATCTATTGGCATCTTGACCCCCAAACTAGATAGAACATGATAGAACTGTGGATCTTTTCAAAAGCTGTTGTAGGGATCAGTCCAGGGAGATCACATAGATCTACCCAGAAGCTTCATGTGACATGTGCGTCAATTGATCCACTTTGTGAGGTCTATGATCCAGACACCATGCCAGCGCTGAGGTGCCAGGGGCTGTGCGGGAATTTGAGAGTTTGCGTGGATTCGCTGATCAAAAGAGCCGGCAAGGACCAGCAGTTGAAACACTTAGTAACACAAATGCATAAACAGCATATTCAACAATGCTTCAAGCACCTCGAAGCAAAGTACAACAAAGGTCCAAACTGAAGGGTTAGTTGACTTGCTCAGCTTGCAACCTAAATTACATCAGGTTTTACCCAAACAAACCAACAATTGTATATTTCCAAAGAGTGGGGTAGCTAGAATTTAGACAATTGTTTTGACCTTTGCCGCAGGGCATCGCCCAGGGTCTCGCAGCATACATTAGGAAGGCGAGAACCGGTTGGTATCTCGTAACGTGGCAAAAGGGATGAGCCGTTAGAGAAACGAGAGCAAGTGTCGAAAGGACATGCTGCGAACAATTTCGGGGCTTAAGACAGTGCATTCGGTGCTAATTTTAGAAGGAGGTCTTATCAGCGAGGTTGGCAAGGCAGGAACGAACAGAACGACAACATATTTTGGCCATGGGACGGCAAGCAGTAACATGGGCATCGCTACTAGTAGCAAGGGCATCGCTACTAGTAGCAAGGGCATTACTACCAGTATCTACTAGTCACAAAAAGCTACTAGTAACAAGGCACCTTACTACTAGTAACCAGAAGCTACTAGTAGCTCCTGCATTGCGACTAGTAACAAGAAGCTATTAGAAACAAGGTGCATCGCTATACTAGTAGCATGAACGCGTGGAGCGGAAGACGTTTGAGCGCATGCTCCTGTCGACAAGTGTCATGACACTCAGTGGGTCAATATATCTGGTATCCAACAAACTTCAGCTTCACCTGCCAGCGGAAGATCACCCACCTTGTCACCTTGTGTCATTTCTTGGAAGTCTGAAGTCTTCAGCTTGTGCTTTTGCCCTAAGAGTGTGGTCGCGAAAGACTTATAACAATGCGTTTGGAGCTGCGTTTGCAGGGCGCTCACTCGCGGCGGCTCTTTTTGCAAACACAACCAGTGGGGCATGGAGGTCGCGCTTCACGACTGGTTCCTGGCATGCCCTTGTCGAACTGATGATCCGGAGGACGGCCTGAACTTGTTGGGCCATGACCATGGTGTTCCTTCGACTTGATGTTAATTACTCGCTACTGTATTTTCAACATGGATTTGCTGGACATGTTCATAACAGCAGTGTCAGTGAGTCAGTGGACCTATTGACATTTCCCCTAGACGAACGTTGCATCTAAGATTTTTCTAAGTTCGCAACCATCCAGGACCCTTGTTACTAGTAGCGAGGCCGCGAGGCCACCAGTAGCGATGTGCGATGTGCTGTGCCTCAGGAGGCCGATTTCTTTTTCGCGCCGCACTACACCTCCTGCTTAATCAATCATGCAGACACCTTCACTGGCTGTGACACCAAGCAGCTCTGTGGCCCGACGACCGCGCTCTTTCAGCAGGCGAATGTTGGATCCTAGTCGCTTCTCACTACTTGTAGAGCGCATGTCAAATCAAGTAGTCGTTCTCTTTTTGAAGCAAGTCGTTTTTGACATGTGTTCTACAGTGATTTTGTATCAAGTGGTTTTCTTAAAGAGCTCCAAACGTCCATCGCTCTGTCGTTTGTTCGGTCTCTTGGATCCGCGCTAGGCCTTGAGCAGCTCCGCGTACTACCGGCGCATGGATGGAGGTCACCTGCCTGAGTTGATTGGATTCTCTGAAACTTTTCGTTTGGATTCTGAAAGTTGATGGAGGTCCCTGAAACAGTTGATTGGATTCCTTGATTGTTTCTGTTCTTCTGTTTGGAGATGCTTGGGGTTGGCCCTGCGGTTTTGACCCGCTGGCAGATGTTTCAAGGGCTCCAGGCTGGAGCGAAAGAACGATTCGCCAAGTGAGTGGCTGTGAGAGAGGAGGGTGTTTAGATGTGTCTGGTACTGGCAGCAAACAGGAGGATGTTTGAAGCATTGAAGGGAATGGTCGGACTGTTGAGGGATCACTTCATCTCTTGCGCACTTCCATGATCACCAAATCCGGGTGTTATGTGTTATCTGTGCCGCGCACTGCCAGCCGCAAGGGCGAGACCACATCTTTGTGTGGGGCTCTGGTATGGCTGCAGATGGACCCTTTGCCACCTGGAGGGACTGGGTGCCCAATGCGATTTTCCTCATGACGGAGCCCGAGCTGTGGAATCCCTACAAGGAGACGCCAAACGGACGCCTAAGCTGCCTTTTTCAACACAGTAGTCAATGTGAAATGGGATATGGAGGTTGCGCTTCCCAACTCAATTGAACACCTTAGTATGGGGACAGATAGAACTTCAACTTGGCAAACTTGGGCTAGGGTGTGGTTAGCACTGTAGACTTCGATTTCTGTTTTATCGGCGCGTCAAATTTTGCTCACAGTTTTGAAGCCCGCTCACATGTAATGTACCACGCCTTCAACCGTCGAGGAGGTGGTTCAAGCCTCGTACGCGCCATACAAAGACATCCTGGTGCCTGGCCGAATCACCGTGGACGACATGATCGCACTGGGGAGACTTGTCTATGTCAAGACCGCTTTTTGTCTATGTTTGTTCGACCAAGGTCTTTTCTTGTAACGACAAGTGCACCTGCAGGCGTGGTTTGCCAACAAGAGGGCTCGGGTTTGGTGGCCATCTGCCATCGGCTGCCTGACGCGTGAAGCTCCTCCTTTGTAAAGAACATCATCTTCCAACCCTGGGTCGCTGCCTTACCTTTGGATACTTTCGGACTCCACCTTGAACGTTGCGGATCAAAAGGGGACTAGAACAAGACTGACTCTTGGGTCGAACATGGCAGAACAAGATACTGCAGCGATGCCTTGACCTGCTGCTTCCACTCAACAACCTCCCCCGCATCCCATATAGAAAGCCATTGACCTAGCCTCCCAGTCTTTGAGGTGAAACAAAAGCCTCCCATAGCATATGGGGCCCCAAGAACTTCAGCAACACTTGTAGGGTTCCTACTGTAGCAAGAAGCTTCTGGGGTGAACCCCAAGAAGCTCCGAGAAACTCTTCATCGAGCAAGGAAAATGGCCAAGCCCTTTGATGAGCGAAGCATCTTGGGGCACTTCATTGGCTGGCCAAGGTGAGAGTGGCCGGTGAATGAAGGCCTTGAGCAGTTTGTGAGCGCTTCAAGGAAGCCCCCCCCTGGTGTCAGGTGGGGGGAGCTTCCTTGAAGAAGTCCCGCGTCCGGTTACTAGTAGCGTCCTAGTAGCTAGTAGCTTACAAGAGCGTCTTACTTGCTTAAGTAGGTCCCTACTTCATTAAGTAGGGAGGGGGAAGAGCGGCTTAAATCATTGTCCTTCTTTGATCTTTCGTGACCCTGAAGTCACCTGGCATGTTGGCCCACACGTTTTTCACAGGCCGCCTCACCCTTCGGTGATGCCTCCGGAGGAGTGCCAGAATAGCAGCTGTCCCTTGAACGTTCGCTCAGTGCTGCTGGCTCGCAAGGTTGGGGTCCGTGGTCCGGTGCACCGTGGGCCCACGGGATCCTTCTGAAGGTCCACATGCTATTTTGCTCAGTGCTTGTAGTTGGTCCCTTCCACATGCATTGTCTGGCTGTTTCTGTGCTGTGCTGCAGATTGCAAAAGGACCAAGGTCTCACGTTATGTACCTTTTCGGGTTTGTCGAATTGTGGAGTAACGTGAGTGACCAGGGGGAGGAGATGTTGCACGTGGACGTGGACGTTCCATACATGGAGTCCTTCCTGGGCCTTACAAGCTCCTTGCCACTGAGCTGCCTGGGATGATTCGGAGAAGGGGCATACCAGGGCATACCATGTCCATGATTCTTATGAGTGTGTGACCTGTTTTGACCTTCTTGGTCATTGGAGACGAGAATCTTCTTTTCAGGTGGCAACCTTTTCTCTAAAGCCATGTCTAATCATGTATATCTTAAAGGTTTTTAGTTGGTTTCCAATCTCCAATCCTGGCTGTATTCACATTGGTTTCACAAAAGCATTCTCTTGCATTAGGTTGGTCTTCTTCCATTTGTCTTGACCATTTTTCTTGTATCAGGTTTTGGTTTAGATTTTGAGGTTTTGCTTCGTACCGCGTGGGAAGAGTGCATGGTCTTCGCGCTTCTTCCAAACCTTCTTTGCAGGCGAGGGCGTCGTGGAGAAACCGGGTTCTATTTCTGCCTTTTGAATCTGAACAGAGTGTTACAGACAGCTACTAGTAACAAGTGCTACTAGTCACAAGTGCATTACTGCTAGTAACAAGAAGCTACTAGTAACAAGTGCATTACTACTAGCAGCAAGGGCATCGTTACTAGTAACAAGTGGGTTACTACTAGTAACAAGAAGCTACTAGTAACAAGTGCATTACTACTAGCAACAAGGGCATCGTTACTAGTAACAAGTGCGTTACTAGTAACAAGAAGCTACTAGTAACAATCAAAGTGTACACCATCCTATATACCTCCTCACACCAGTCATCAG